ACTCTGGGTCAGGAGGTGTGGGGGTAGGACAAAGGGTAATAGTTTTAAACTGACAGAGGGCAGATTTATGTGAGATCTAAGGCAGAAATCCTTCCCTGTGCGGGGGGTGAGGCGCTGGCCCAGGGTGCCCAGAGCAGCTGCGGCTGCCCCCTCCCTGGAAGGGTTCAAGGCCAGGTTGGACGGGGCTGGGAGCAGCCTGGGCTGGGGGAAGGGGGCCCTGCCCGGGGCAGGGGGGGTGGAACTAGGTGATCTTTAAGGTCCCTTCCAGCCCAAACCATTCTGTGATTAAATGTCTGTTTTACCTTCCATATGATTAATTTCAGGGATGATGAAACTTGGCTCTTTGTCTCTGAACCATTGCAAATATTCTTAAATGCTTTTAATTTAGATTTTGATGTTATAAAATTTTCACCGAGGTCCACCAATTGCAAGGAATTGAAAGTAGTATTCTAACTTCCAAATTTTCTTCTTCTTTGATGTAACGTTGGGACTCAGCAAACAAAAGCCTTAAGGAGCATGCCTTTATCCCTTATAGACAAGTTCAGTGCCACTCCCTCTCTCATCATGGACCAGCTATTCCCTCAGAGACAGTGCTTCCTGTCTATATGAGAAGAGAATTAGGTTGTACATACTTAAAGATGCTACTATCTTAAGATCAATTATAAAACCTTAAGGCATTCAAAATTGTTGTCTGTCTTGCTTAAAGAAGGTTGTAATATACAAGTAGCCACTCTAAAACCACTGTGGGGAATGCCAAATTGAGAAGAGTATATTTTTTATCTAAATGTCTGGTGGATTAATATTTGACTTCAGAAAGTCTAATTACCTCAGTAGTAAGAAACTGGGTACACTTTAATAGCATGAGGTCACTGACCTTGATAAAATCAATGTGCCACCACCTGCCTTTGTAATTACGTCAATGACTCGTCTTCATTATATGCTTATCCACTTCAGTCTTACCAGAGTGCCACAATGTGTTCTATCTGCATGTTGTTTATTCACTAGAGAGTGTCCTATACACTTTCTACGTGTTTCTACACCCCTGAAGTCAATCTGAGTTAATATTCAACTGGGACCTTTCCTCAGTGACTCGCTGTGTGTTTTGTGATACGACTGCTCCTTTCTAATTATGTTGGCAGTGCTGCTGAGGAGCACATAATATTATTGCCAAAGTTCAATAAACATACAGAGTAACTATAGAGTTTGGGGGAAAACAGTCGGTGGTGCTTTCATGACCTTTGGCAACAGTACGAACACAGTTTGGCCAATGCCAAACAAATGTCTAACTTAAAATCTCTCAGCGACCAGAAAATGATGGATTTGCTTTACTTTATTACATCTAATAATAAACAAAAAATGCTGTGTTTGTGCAGTGCAGTGCAGTAGCGTGGCCAGACTGAGAGTAGTCCTGTGCAGCAGGTCAGGCCGTATGAATATCAGTGGCTCTTTCTTCTCTTGGTGTTGCACAGATGCATCCCCAGGTGGTCTGAGATGAGAGATTGCTAATGAAGTCGTTGGAGTCCCACTGATTTAGCAAAGCACAGCAGTTGTGATAGGGAAACTCATTTGCTTTGTCTGTGGTGGTGTAGTAATTGATACGTTACACTCTCGCTATGAAAGCCCTCATTGGCATCTTCAGACTATGCCTAGTAAATGGAAAGGCAAACGTTCATAACAATCATGACTGCTTCTTCACCACTAGCTCCTTCCACTTCTTCATTGCTAGCTCACTGTAGCTAAATCTAATAATAGTGGACCAATGTCTGGTTGTAAGTATAGAAACAGCATAAGCCTGGGAGGCTCATAGCAACATAATATTAAAAGCCAATTTCTATTCTCTGAGCCTTGAGCTTGAAAACCTATGCAAACTACTGCTGCAACTGATATCAGAAATAATCAGCACAGGACTGGATGTTTAGGATCAGATCAGGACTCCTAAGTAGCCTGGCTGTACTGCAAGATCCCCATCCTCAGATGCTCTCTCCATAGTTCAGTGGGTTTAATGAGAGCCAGAATTGTCACAGATCATTTCCACTGCATGGCTCACTTTCCAGCTGTGGATTTTTTTCCATCAGAACAGCCCAAATGAGAATATGGTCCCTGACTGGTACCTGTATAACTGTTTGCTTCCACGGAACACCATGTTTTGCCGGCAGGAACAGTGCATTGTGTGACCCACTGCCCAGGGAATGGCTGCAAAACTGGAAGGCTTTGACATAGACGTGATGGGAATGCACCAATAATGCCTGGATGATATACACAATGTTCTAATTTTCCATTCTCCCTTTCCCCCTATTTCAAATCAACAATGTCCTCTGGTAACATTTTTTGGACAAGAGCACCAGTTCCACTCCTGAGTGGTTTGTGCTATAGACATGCAGTCTCTCTAGAATTCTCATTCGAGGACTGCATCTCTCTAGCATAAGCCACCCGCTACTGGAAATGGTGTTCTTGTCCAAAAATGTTACCGGAGGATATAAGCAACCCACCACTGATACTACCTCATCCTTTAAGCAAAATGAATTCCTATACTCTGTGATTATGCCTCTGAAGCGATTCAGCTGTGTAATAGGGCATGGCAGAAAAATGTTTCCAAGTACCTGACCTGGGTCATTAATTCAGAACGTACACTAGCTCATTAACATATGTGTGTGTATGTACATATTTTATATACGAGTATATATAGCTCTGTGTGTATTTATATACATAAAATCTCCCAAAACAGCACAGGGAGGGTTGAACATTTTGGTATTAAGAGAAGAACTTAAAATACCAATGTGGCAGAATAGGTCCAATGAAAGGTGAAGGCCAGAATTTCAGTTTATTTATGTCCTTTAGCTTTAGTGGAGCTATTCTGATTGACAGTTATGAAGATCTGGCACGCTGTCTTTCAGAGGAGAAGAAGAAGACAAAAACTGGCTATATAAGGCCTCAAACACTTCTCCTCATTGGTGTGAGGGCAAACCAAGAACAGTTCCATCACACCCACTGTCACCACAATAATTCTGCACAACTCGCACTTTGCTCCCTAACCTGCAAGAGAGACAGCTGGGGAGCCTTAGTCTAGCATTTGGAATAAAACCCCTTTCATCTGAGCCTGGGCTATTTTCCATTGCAGGGGACGCTGCGTTTCCAAGTTACCTCAGGGCATATCTGCACGGACAGGCGCGAGGGGCCCGAGTGCCTCTGCTTTCGCTCCGAGCTGGCCAGAGGGGAGTCTGCTGTGATTTGGAAGCGATACAATAGAATTGCTTTGGTCCCATGCCCAAGCTTACAGAGTGTCTTGAGAGACACTTGATCAGTTTTGAAATAAGTTTTAAGTTAACCTATGGAGTTTTGCACTTAGGTTGGTTCTGTGTCTTGCACAAGATAAACTGCCTACGCAGTCTACACTTGGCCCAAGTTGGCCAAATATTTCTGGCTTGTGGAAAGAGAGAGATGTGCTTCCTCTCCCCGTCTTCTGGTCTGTGTAGCCAGTTTTTCGCCAATATTTTCACATGTTTACTTTCCTCTACTTGCTCAATGGATGGAACACTTGGCCCAACCTGGCGTCCACTGTGGTCAATGCAGAAAGTCAACATGACTCACAAGGGAGCTGAGTTGTTCCCACAAGGTTCTTTAGTTCAAAGCAATTGTGGAAGTAAAATTGCAGGATTTCTAGATACATGTTCTTAGCCTTCAAATGGAGAAGCTGTAGTCGGACCCTCTGAAAGGCAGCCTGGTATAGATTAATGAATGCAACTTGATTTAAAAAAAAAAAAAAAAATCAAAACAACAATCCGAAACAGCTGTTTATTCAAGCAATTTTTTTCCTTTATTTTTAATTAGATTCCAGAAATTATAATAGTGCAAACACTCAGTATAAAAGTTGCAATAAGAAATTTACATTCACATTTAACATTTCAGTCCATTCACTTTTTAACATAAAAATAGGACAAATATTCAATTGCTCTTCTCAATTTAACAATCCTGAAAAAGACTGGAAGATACTCTACAATATTCTATTTACATAAAAATAGACCCGTATTATTAATGCAAATCTATCATTGGAAGTTACCCAGTGTGAAGTTATTGTATTGTACTATGTATATACATACATATATATATAGTGTATAGGTATATAGATATAAAAAATATTTATAGGTTCAGTGGGCTACAATGGTTGGAAAGATGACATCTTGACTTACTAGTTCATTCCTTAAAGTTAGGACTATTATTTTTATTTACTTATGTAGATGTTTCTGTTGAGATACAGTGGGCCTCCTCCTGGTCCCTTTGAAGTCACTGGCAACACCCCATTTGACCCCACCCACTGGGAAGGGAACAAACATTAGAATAAGGCCTGAACCAACAGTTCAGCAATCATTGAAGTTATTAATTCCATTAAATTTACTGGGCTGTAACTCGGACTAAGATCTTCTGAAACCTCGTATGCCAATTAAACAGAAAGAAGAATACATTTGGTTTACCCTTTGAGGAATGGAATGTCTCTACTAGATGCAAATTTTTTTTTTTTTATTTTTCAAAATCTAACGAGAGTATTCAAGTTAGTTTGGAAGCAATGAAGAATTTGCTGCAAATATCTGCAGGTTAAGCAGATGATAAGATTCCTCTTACACGGTCTTCATACTGAATACTTCAATTCCTCCAGCCTTATCAAACGCCAAGACTGTATCTTTTCTTGCTCTTAATTTTGAATATAGACTGACATCCAGACACACATAACGACCACCCTGGAAATGGGTTTGCATGTATTTAGTAAACCGCTAGGGAATGTGAATTAGGCTACCCTAGTCTTGTTTCTCTGTCCTTCCTCTGGGGACACGAGCAGACGCTGCCCTGCCCGCGGCTGGCAGGGCCAAGCCTCGCTGCCCACCCCACTGCTCATGCCCATGCTCCCACCACCCTGTGCGTCTACTCACTCTTTTGGGTTTGCTGTCACATACTGCTTCCGAACCAGATTATGGCAAAGCTATTTCTTTCCCCCGAAACACCTATTATATGAAAAATCTGGGGTTTGAAACATTTTTTTTTTTTTTTTTTTGAAAAAGAAGTTTGACAACCACGTGGTGGAGGACCTACAGACAGAGGTGGTGAGCAGGCCTGAGCGGACGGTAACCACCTGCAATAAAAATTCGATGGCACTGAACAACTGAAGGCAAGTTAAGGGCAGCAGGGGCACCAATTTCTTAAGAAGCAGTGTTTTATGAGCTGCAGGTCACATTTTTACATCTGAAGAAGAATTATGCGGTATTAAGAGGCAGGCAGGCATACCTAGACCATTTTCCTCTTAGGGCTATGGTGCTTATTACATTTAAATATTTCTTGCGTGCTTAAAATTATAGGTAAGCCTACAATAGACACTGTGGAGGAAGATCAATTTTGATTGTAGAACACATGCACCAAGTGGTTTTTTGCTTCTGACCTGAGGCTGCTGAACATCTAATTATAAAAAGAAGGAATCACGTACGCTTTTTAAATCTTTTCAGTTAGCAGATCAGAAAAATACTTCACATCTCATTTCCAAGTAGAAACTTTGTACTTATACCAGCAGGGCAAAAGTGAACCTTTTGACAGCAGAGAGTATAAGGATTATTCAGCAGGAGAAAATCCAGACAGATCTGAGTTGCAACAGAAGTTTTAGTGGCAAGGATTTTAAGAGATGGGTCAAATGTGGCTGAATCTGCTTGAAACTGTGAAATGTGTCTATTACTACTGTTTTGCACCATTATCCACATTCTGTGTATTTGTCTGTGATTTGCACACAGACAAATCTACACACAAGTATATTATGGAAAAAGAACATCCAAGAAGAGGCTTTTAACATCTGTCAGAATTTCACTGAAAATAATATTACTGCTCTAGAATTCTCTGAATTGGGTTAAATTACACTAGAAACGGTAACTGCTCTTGGTCTCTGTTTTATAGACCAGTAACTCTGAAGCATTACTTTCATTCTTATGGTATTCTGTAACATTTTCCAGAGCTATTTCTGTGTAATAACCAGCTGCTTGAATGCAGAAAAGAAACTCAGCATTTGCTTTGTCTAAGTCCAAATTTGTGCAGACAATTGTACTTGTAAATGGGAGCAAGTTACACAATCACTTTATTTCTTTTTTCTTAATTGAACCCTAGTAATGTTACTGTAAAAAAAGCAGGAATTCTAAGTGAAGAAGGATTTCTACTGGAACAATTTAAAAATATAATTATCATGAAGCAATTTTGTGATGGCACAGGTAAGTAATTTTCATCTACATCTCACTCAAAATTCTTAATACGTTTCTCAAATGGCATTTAAAATGTAAGGACAGCCTTTGCACCCGTGTGCACTAAGGAGTAAAAGACACGAGATATCACCTACGTAACTTCAATGTGCCAGCTCAAATTTTTCATAACTGATGCCACCATTGACAGGTCTAGGATCAAAGCAGCAGGTCAGGCACTTGAAAGTAAGACACAATAGTCTGCACAACTGCAGTAATTAAAGCACACTGTAGCCTTGCCCACAATGAGGAGTGTTAGCTGTTTTACCACCAGCAGGCTAAAATATGTCTAGCAACTGTGGCAGTGCAGTTACAAGCCATAGGTAAGTGTTCTGGATGTTTTTAATCAACGTGTTGTATACGCCTGTTCCGAAGAGAAGGACAGCCAGCTTTTTCAAAGGAGCTCCAAACTCTCTGGGCAGATTTTCTGCAGAACTCAGCTCACTCTGTGTGCTGAGCTTTCTAGGAAATCTGTTCTTATTTAGCTTGGACCCACATGTGCCTGTGTATGGCCTCCCTCCATAAACACTTGGAGCACTCCTTGCACCCACATAGCTGTGCTGGTAGTAAACCAAAGTAGGAAAGGAAGTAGTAAAAAAGCTTCACAGTGATGCAGCACTGTTTGTTCCCTCAGTTTTATGCAGGTGTGGCATGTCTGATGCCACAGAAGGCATAAAACGGGGATCCTAATATAAAGAAACAGATCCTCCAGCATGCAGTAAGGCACAAGCAAAACCAAGTCCTTCCAGCACATAGGCTATGCACGTTAACCAATGCTAATTCAAATTTCAAGGTGCTTCCGCATGATCCGAAAATAGGCATTAAAGGTGACAACCTCCAACCATTTCTAGGAAGTCCTTCTGAAATTCTGAAAGCAGTTCACCAAGAGATCTTCAACACTCTTTGTGAATGTAGAGAGAAGTGAAAACTCAGAAATTAATCTGGCTGTGCAGTTAAACACAAGCCTCATTTTTGTTGCACTAGGAATCTGGTTCTGCCAGCTCAGATACTCAAGACCTGTCCCATGTCACTGGGAACTTTACCACTGACTTCAGAAGGAGTACTGGCTTTTCACCTCTTCCCTTCAGCAACTGCTATCTCAAAAGCTTATTTTCTTTTTGTTATTTCATACTCCTGCTAAATTTGTGCTTTTTTTTTTCTTTTTTCTTTAATTCTTTTCCTGGTTTTGCCCTTGCACCAATCAGATTACAAGTCATACTCGGCCTCCCAAGCAGTGTGACATTTTGAAGAGTACTTAAAGAGCAACAGGCAGCCCCCCTTTATACGTACTTTCTCCCATTTATTTACATTTATATATTTATTCATGATTTAGATCTGGCCTGAAAACTCAGTGAGAGATGGGATTAAAAGGAACAAAAGGCTAAAAAAAGTCTACCCAGAGTTCTGGAAGAAACCAATCATAAAGAGGGTTGGGGTAGAGAAGCAGAGTCCACGTTGTCATTGTCACAACAACTATGCCACACTGAGATGGAAATCCCACTACATTTGAGATGAGTTAATTGATGATTGTTAGAAACCCTTAACTGCTGAATGAAGCAGTTCTGTACAAGGTAGTGGTTCTTATATGCAGGCAACTGGGATACATTGTATGAATCTATATCTTATGACCACAGAAGTACTTCCAGAAGCTGTACTGCTTAATTAACCCCACAGTCACCTGATTAAACAAACAAATTAACAGATTTCTAACTCCTATTATAAAACTAGCTCAAATCTGTAAAACACAAAATGTTATTAATCCATAGTAGAAGGTATTTGCAGTCCACACCCTTTTTCCTCTGTCACCAACCTCCGTCTTACGCTCCTACAATACTCCTCATTGATTGTACAGCAAGTATATAACTAATTTGAGAAGCAGTCCTGAGCTGTAGTGACACAGATGTGACAACTTTAAAAATGACGCATGCAAAATACCCCCCGAATTTAAAGTTTTGTTCAGAAGCAACATGGGAAAAATCAGCTAGAGGGCTGGATATTGATTCCTTATTCCTATGTCATTAACTGACATGGGCCTGAAGTGGTGGGTTAGGCTGTGATGCCCGAGGGAGGCATCCCTGTAAGCGTGACTTTAGAGGGAGCAGGACTAGCATCAGCACAGAACCTGGACGGCTCAAAGCCAGAGAACCCAGTGAATCTTCTCCTCACAGTTCTGTTACTTTCTGATTAGCAACAGAAGTTATTTGAAAAAAAAGTCAAAACAGCTAACAAAAATAAGGCAACAAAATTAATTTATATATATACATACATATATATACATATGTATGTATCTAGGAAAACAATCTATTTGCATTGTGTACCTTTCACATACAATAACTTATTACCACATTAGAAATATACTCTGGGTAACATCAATGGGACAAATTCACCTCCTTTACCTTCCATAGTGTTGCACCTGCATACAGCAATGATGGGTTTGACACTTGGTCCTTCTTGATGACAATACCACATCAAATGCAGTATCAGAGAATACCCACTGAATGTCAGATATTACACCATTATGAACTAGAATATCTGCTTGCTTTTTAGATTACAGTAAGTAGAGTTTATTGCTTCTAATGACCAGAAGGTACCTTATGAAGACAGCATAGATGTTGATAACAATTTTCATATACGGTATTACGGATCTTGGAACACTGAGGTTGGCAGATCACAATCATAAAATTATTTTTCTTCTTTATTTGCTGTTTGCATTTTGATTTTGCTTTGCTGAATGCACATGCAACTAGTGGATTTAACTCTGTGCCAGAAGTGATATGTCAAAAACATTTAGGAAAACTTACTGTTTTGTTTTGCTTTACTGAAGTCAGGCATGAGTGGCATGCAGTAGATTGTAAGGAAAAGCAAAAGGACGTCCATTTCCAAAGGATTTATAATCTCCATGCACATGTAAAACGTCTCTTACAAAAATTGTTAACATTTGTTAAAAGTGTGCCTTTTTGCCTCTTTTTATACAAGTGTACATGCAATTACCTGTCCGAGCTAAAACTATTTACAAAATTTCATAATACAATACATCTTTTAAAGTGAATAATACATGAAAGGCCAATGTTTTCTGTTGTTTCGTAACACTGTACAAGATTAAAAATAAATAAGGCATTATAATACAGGTTTATCACAAATTAAAAAATGTCAGTTTTCACTGTAATACAAAACTCTAACTTGAAAGAACATTATGGCTAAATAGTCCTCCTGCCTGGGCAGAACACAGAATCGGAATCTGGACTTGCTGATGTAAAGAAAACGCTTTGTTTCTGCTACAAGCAGGAATTCAACACATGAAAATGGTTCACGCTACTTACTATGTGTTCAGACTCCTCAAAGCACTGAAATGGCACAGGTCATATACGGTTTCCCTTCGAGCAGTGACTCCCAAGCACTTTCTTTTGCCTTGCGGATAAATTACAGGCAAAGTGTGGAAGAGATTTAGGCGCATGACCTACTTTCAGTTACAGTGCTGTAAAATACTCAGTTCAGTGCTGACGCGAGACATCGGTGTAACCCAAAGCAGAACTTGGCCCGCAGAAGCTCAACTCCTGACCTTCAGAAGCATGCTGAACCCCTAGTGAGTTCTGCAGGCCTCGTGGGCACATAAGGGATGCAGGTTCAGCCCTAACGAGCCAAAGCTTTTGGCTCTCAGTCTCACCTAGAGAAAGCGAGGGAGAATTTGCGTCTGTTTTAGTGAAGACAAGGGAGTGTGACTTGCCACAGCAGGAAGCAGCTACAAAAAACAACGCATTTTACAGGCTGGATAAAACAGCGTTCTAGTCAATGCAAATGGAAAATGCTCAGAAATATCTAGCCAGTAATTCAACTGAATCCCAGTTTGTAATCTCAGCAAAGGATAATAGGTAAAAAATCTTTTAAAGATAAAGGTAGCATAGGAACACTTTGAAATTAGTCTGAAGATCTCTGATACCTATATCCTTATATAAAGAATGAAAGACTTCGGTTATTACTATTATCTGAAAGAGAAAACGTGCAAACTGATGTGAAATATTGTGCTTGCTATTGACAGACACTGACACGCCAAAATGGCATCGCTTTGTTGTAGGGCTCGTATCTGTTAATTGTTTCAAGCTAACAGCTGCACAAAACAGTGAACAGAAGTGCAGGAGGCCATTCTGCCCACAGTGCAACAAGTTACTGTCCTCAGCTAAACGTGAGGGACTTTTGGGTACTGTGGGGCAGAACTGACTCCTTGCTGGGGCTACAGCAAGGTCACCCAGGCAAAAGTGACAGAGCTTGACCAGAATATTAATAAATGCAGGATAAGAAATACAACTGCATGCATGAAGATGGACACAGCCCAAATCCCACAAAAATCCAAGGAAATCCTTGTGGTGATTTTCAGGGATATTGGAGTGGGCCACATATGATCTTCAGCCAATTGCCAATAAAAATTTGATGACAACCTTCTCTGATTTGGCAGAAAATGTGCATTGGTGGGGTTATCAGTAGCATTACTACTACCTCTTTCCATGTATAAAACTTACTGAACATATCAAAGAATGCAGAAGAGCAGAGAGATTAAATCTGTCATTTAAAGCTATTGCACAAGGCCTGAAATAAAGCAAATGTACACAGAAAAGGAAGATGGGGAAAAATTATATGAATAGGAAGGTAAAGCACAAAGGCAAGAGCACAGCTTCATTATATCATGATTTCAACAGGCATTTAGTTTTCCCTGTTGGAATGGCTGCTGAACACTGCCTATCATTTTCACGTGGCTTTTTACTGGTTTGTGCCTTGGCTGAACTTTCTTCATGAATCTGTACGGCTCAGACCAGGACTACGTAGTAGAATGTAGTTTTCCCCACAGTAAAACCAGCAACAACCACCACAACAAATACACGAAAAATGTTAATGGGACGGCTTGGGTGAAGCCTGGAACCTGACTCCGAGTACACCGTCACACGCACACTGGGCAGGCTGGAGCACCAAGAAGCCAGCCCGGGCCCCAAAACCTGCTCATGGGGGCACAGACCTCCCGCAGGAGGGCCAAGCGAGAGGCTGATGATGGGCTGCTCCTGCCCATGTCCCTCCATTCAGCACGAAAATCGTTCTTACAGAAGTCACGTGCCCCATTCGGCTGTCGGAGAGAGGGATCAGGCTTAGAAAGACTTCGGAGTAGTCTTACTAGCACCTGATAATCTTTTAAAACATGAGAACGAGTGATCCAAATGTACCTTGCTACATCACATTCCACTGACATTACTCCAGGACTAGGCTGGGAATAAATCTGGGAATGAGAACGGTCCTGGAAGTATTAGCACAGGGGACAGTTCGTTTCTGCTCACTGTCCACTTAGTGATAAAAGAAACAACGGCAATATGCCTCTATCTTGGACCTATTAAAACAGTAACAAAGAAATAATTTTTCATTGCGAGCTTTTGGTGTGGGTAAATGGCTGTATTTGGTCTATGTGTTCATGTACTACCAGATCTCCTGCTAGGGTCTGAAGATGCTTTTAATAACTGCTTTCATTATTATAAATGAAATTATACCAAATTCGCTGATTCAAAAATTGTGTAACTTGGGCTCTTTGTGAGTGGAACTGAGTGATTAATGCTATTGCACATAATGTTTTCTGTTTTGCTTAAATATTTAACTTATCTGCGTGATGATTTAGTTCTTACAAACCAACTAAACCCCATAAATATGCAGTGTATTTTACATGGATACCACTTATTCAGTTTAATTATGCAAATATTGTTCTTTTAAATCTGTATACTCTACATGTATTTATTTAAATAGCTTTGAATGCCTCAAAACTAGAACTGAATTTTTCTGGACCTGGATAGCTGTAAGGGAGATAAAGAAATGCAGTGAGTTTCCACAGATCAGCCAGAGTGCATACACCTAGTACAGTTAGGAAGCAATACTCCTTTTTTTTGTAGTCACTTTACTCACAACACTAATTTTGGTAGCTTTGTAATGAAGCACCTAGCTGACAGGGTACATAAAAATTAATTAAAAACCCTGCTGAAAACCACTGGAGTCCCACAGCAGCCTGATGTGGCTTCATGGAGAACGGAAACTCCTGCAGCATTTCTTTAACCATTTGCATCTGTTGACACAGTATTTGTCCATACGCTTTTAACGCAAACAGTGACTGCTCCAAAGCAAATGTTGATTGCAGGAGAATTGCTCAGAATCTTCTTTCCACTGAAATCAGCAATAAAATAGGCCCAACCAAGGGAAATGGGACATTAAGTACATGCAAGTTTTCTACTGTACAATCTGGACAACTTCTGTAGTCTCGGGAGGGTTTTTCATGTCTGTTTTGGTTTGGGGTTTTTTTTTGGGGGGTGGGGGGGAGGTGGTTTGTTTTTTTTTTGTAGTTAAAGGGAAGTTTTGCCTGTTTTTAGACAATGTAAAGTTTTGCTTCTGTTTTGGAAAGCAGTGAGGCTGGTTAGCTTGTGCATCCCTACCAGGACGTCTCCCTGGAGCACATGTCGCTCGGCAGGATGACCTCCAACCACCCCCTCCTCCAGCACGGAGCTGCACTCCACGTTTCACACCCAAATCAGCGTTTCAAGATGAAACCATGAACAATAGGATGTGGACTGCAATAAAGAAAAAAGCAGTCAAAATATGTTCCCTTTTATGCAGATTAAGAGCAGGCCTCACAATCCCAGCGTGTCTGCCAGCGTACTCATTTGGGCAAAGTTTGACTGCTCTTGTTTCTCAGAAGCTGTAAAGCTTTCTATAATTGTACAGCTTTGAAGAGTGAGCCTGGGTAGAATCAAGTTATAATAAAACTGTGGCTTAAATTTAAAAATCAACTAAGACAGAAGACTATGCTGGCAAGCATACAAATGTCACAAAGCTAGCAACAGCATGTTTGTCACCAGTACAGGACTATTCTTTGAGCTGTTTAGAAAGGTAAAACTAAATCCTGGAACTGAGCCACAGGACCTGTGCTGTTTGTAAAAGCCTGAAATAATATCAGCCTTCTACTCTTCAATAAAATCAGCACTGTACATAAAGGAATGTTTCTATATTGCATAAGCATATTGCTGTGCTTGCAGGGTAGCTCCTCTGTCTTGCACAGAGTCAAATGCCCTGTGAAGAGGCAGCAACTTCTAAAGTCTACCACCCTTTTTTTTTTTTTTTTTTTTTTTTAATGGAAAGAATATATATTGCTCTTCTGCCACACCTTTAAGCTCTGTGGTTTATCTACTTCATATCTCAGTGTTATGCTTTGAATTGGATTTTTTTTTTAAGTTTTTGGAGCATGCAAGGAGAATTTTTAAAAAAATAGGGTTTAGCAATTAGCTGAATCCAGCCTTCATTAATCTGCCACTGACAGCACAATGAACACTGTTCTCATTGCTTCAACTTACGCACTGGGAGCACGGTTTCTCTAACTCTTGCTGTAGCCTTGGAGAGTCTCCAGCTGCCCCACACTCCACAGTTAAATGCAGTTTAGCTAATCCCAGACCCAACAATGCTGGCTATGACAGCAAGAGAAATCTCTTTGCTATGTCATTGCAGGTGGATGTGTAAATAAATGCTTATTTTTATCTCTATAAATCTCTAGTAAGTCTACACAGGTCTGTTTGTATATGTGCATATATAGATTTAAACATATATATACACACACACACATAGATAATTGCTTGCACGTTTATCTCATTTTTTTTTCATTTACCCTTTAAAAATGCCAAGAAAATATTCCTCATTTCCAGAAAATCAGTTTTGACTTTTCCTAACAGAATTGCTAGCCCTTATATGTTCCATCCCAAGAGTTCGTTACGCAGTCCTCAAGTTCTCTTTGGTTGGATTGTAGTGGTCCTTGGTTAATGCCATGGCCTATGACCTCTGATCTCTTGGTAAAAACGCAGGCAACCATTGCTCTCCAAGTTCACTGCAAATGGCACAACCATATCTCCTTTGCTCTATGCCTCCTTCACAGCTGGCACAGAAGGAAGATAATGCAGTGTTTGATTTGTGTGACTGGCAGGCACTTGACCTGCTCCAAGCCCAGCGTTTGCAGTAAAGCTAGCAGCTGAGGACACCGACGGACAGCTGGTGCCCAGCTTTGTTTGAATGTTTGCTCTCCCATAAGGGTACATTTTCCGCTCTAAGTTTAAAGACCGTGTTTGTGAATTATTCCCATCGGCCTTTCCTTCCAGGAAATAGGTCAACATTTCACCTTTTCCCTTTACACTGACTTTACCCCTGCACACGAATTCATAACTGCACCTTTTTAATATCCGCTGAACTTCTTCCGTCACCTGGAGACAGAAAAAAAAAAAAAACTATTAGTTTTTCCTGTTCAACTAAGGTTATTCCTAGAACTGCCCACCTCTCCCCATTTTACTTCTCTGTCATGAAATATGCAGAAGCAGAATGAATTAACACATATGGCTGCTCTTGGGCTCATTTAGAATTTTCTTAAGAAATTAAAAATTACTGACCAAACTTGAATCTGAGAAGCACAACTTCTGGTCTTGAACTGAGGAAGTACACAGCCAGAGTAAGCTCCGTCTAACTGAAATGTGTAACCAAATTGTCCACTGTTGTAAGCTGGATCAGTTCCAATGATGATAATATACTACAGAAGAACTTTTGGTGCCTGAAGACTATACAGGTATTTTGGATAAAGGACTGCAAGAGTTCATGAGGATTTTGAGAGGTTCAGCATAGCTTCTAGCCAAACTCTAGCAGAAAAACAATGTTCTCTGCCTGTGTAGCCTGTCCAATCCAAAGTATCCAAGGAATTTTTAAAGCTACATAAAATGCAGCAGGATGCAAATGGACACAGATCCTTTCATTGTAGTCCTTATTCAGGCAAAATTCCTGCAGCACAAGGACTGGCCCATGCAGTGTTGGCATTCTCAGGCTTGTCTCCAACTGTGTGCAATGCAGCAGAGAACTCTTGTTTCTTCTGATGGGAAATAATTTGTTTGAGCATTTAATTGCCTCCGAGTAGTGAAGCAAATATAATGGAAAACAACTATACCTCTGATGCTTGAATCATCTGGAGAATGTTGCCCTTTTCATAAGAACCACAAGATTGAGTGAGGCTGCGTTTTCTAAGTGGTCTTGCAAATGTAACCACATTTACAGGTATGTAAAGTTTGCAAAATTGTCTCAGAAGGCACTCACCTGAATTTTTCCCTGCACTCCAGTACTATCCATCCGGCTGGCAACATTTACAGTGTTTCCCCAGATATCATACTGTGGTCTTCTGGCTCCAATGACTCCAGCCACTACAGGCCCAACATTAATACCTAGAAACAAAACAATGAGTTTGGTTTCAAACCTTACAGAATATTGTCCAAGGGAAACATGAATCCTGCAAAATAGATCTAACACAAATGCCTTAGAATTCTTCTGGTCATAGAATATAAGATATGCTAAATTAATGCCAACTGAACTTCTGTATTTGTAAGAGGAGTAGAAACAAAATAAAGACATAATCAGAGGTATCTTACTGGAAATGCAATATGATAAACAACATAAACATTTGGCTCATCTGTGGATTTTATTTTTTGTCTGTTTTAAGAAAAGAATAAAAGCAGTGGTAGTGCAAAGCTTAGCTGAACAATTAGCAGAGTTTAGTAGAATTCAGGACAAGCTGTTAAAGATCTTCAGTTCTTTGCTATGCCTTCCACTGTGGTTACTCATATAAAGCCTTTTAATGGAGGTTTGCCAAGAGGAACAGAAATAGTGGCCTGGAACATGCAAGGAATGGGGTAAGGGAAGCATGGCACACTGGTTGTCAGTATTAGACAACTAAGATCAGGGAGACACTGGAAGAAGACAAGAGCATGTGAAAAAGGCTCAGGTGTCTTTTTTTGGAAACCACAGGGCTTGATTCTACATTTCTGGCTGATTTTGGCACCTTGCTTGGAAGATAAAAGAGGATGTTCCTTCTTCTGATTGCCTTGAAGAGCTACAGATGCTAAACCCTGCATGAGGTTCTGTGCAAGAGAGTTCCCAGGCAAGTTATGCAGAAGAATGGGGGTTAGACACTTGTCTTTTGCCCCGTTGTGAACCTGGAAAGACCAGTTATAACAGAGTTCAAGGAGAATTTGGGGTTTATAATTACTAGGGTGTACAGGAGGGCAAGGATGTATAACTCTCCTATTGCTACCCTTAATGTCTTTGGTCTTTCACAATCTTCCGCTGCTAGCAACCTCACTTTTCCCCTTGTCTAGCCCATTCTCACAGTTCAGCCAGGAAAATATATAGAAAAAGAAGGTGGAGAAAATGGTTTGTGTTATAGACTATGCAATGAAATGAGAACAGTGATGGAAATACCATTGGAGAGGAGCAGGATGCAGGGAGGGAAGGGAAGAGGGGAACTTGCTCTCTAAGAAGGCTGGGGGAAAGTACTCTGAGAGGTAAGACATGTAATAACATGTAAAAGATTGCATGGGAAGGTTTGTGCTGTGAAGACCAGACTATTTTATTTGTTGGAGAAAACAGGACTTGTTTAGGTGATTTGGCATCTGTGGACAAAAAGCTCCCATCACACTTTTAATGCCAGCAAAGCTTTTGCAGATGCAACTTAGCTTAATAGTTAAGCACAGTCAGACCCAGTTTTCAGCAGTTTAGCAATGCAAAGCAGTGTAATCCACAAGACTGGGTACACTAATAATATTGTATAAAATTATTGGTGCAGTTTCCTTTTAGAGGTGTGTAGATTAAGTAAACACACTGGAATTGGACACAGTTATAATTCCTTAATACAGATGCTCACCATCCAGACTGCTGACCTTCTACATGGATGTGACACTCCTACTAAAGGAGGATTTTTGGTTTTAACCATGAGTGCAGGACAGGCCATCTTTTGCAGACAGCGTATGGAAAGCCAACAAACAACAATGTTCTCCTTGGGTGATAATTGTAGAAACATGACTTACCAACTCGTAGGACAAAGTCGTTGTAAGACTGATAGTTGATTTCATCAAGAACGTCAAACATCTCTATTGCAAAATCTGCCAGTGTACTCAGATGGGAATAAATTGATTTTTTAGCCTAGAGACAAAATAGTATTGCACATTATATTTGTATGGTACTGAGAGGCAGGTGAAATACAGAAGTGAAGAACAACAAAAAGCTCAGACTGGATGGCTTAGGAAAAGAATCTAACCCATTTTGCTGTTTGTGAAAATAGACTTTTGATGGTGGCTACAGCACATGCATTCTTTTCTCAAGTACTGAATTCTTGTTGTTTTTTGGTTTTGTTTTTTTTTTTTTTTTTTTTCTCTCTCTCTTTTGATTTCTGGGAAGAATGGAAAGCTAAGTTCCCGTGGTAAAGTGGTTCTGTTGCTAGAGAGCTGCAGATGTTTGTTGTGAGTGTGGCAGGGAATATAACCTGCTTTCTTACAAAACTGCTTTGCTTGATGATTATTAATAACTATAGTTTCTGCCCTCTTCTCCCTTTGGGGCTTTTGCTAGCTCCCGGTTCCATGGGGTGCATGCTGTTCCCATTGACAAAATTCCCGTTAAGTTTAATCCTGTGAGATGCAGAACGCCCCTAGTTTCTTTCCTTTCCAGGCAAGCTGAAGTGAGTTGTAAAACGTATCTAAATTAACTAAAGCAAAAGAACCAAAAGGGGTCAAACGAAATGCTGAAGTATCAACTCATTAAAAAACCCCAAAACATAAAGAAATAATTTTTACAACTTCAGTCCAATTAAACTGTTGCAACTCCTTTTCAGAGGATATTGTGGATTCCAGAAGTTAGCTAGGTTCAAACATAATTACTCAAACTCATGGAAGAAATATTTGCTACAAAGGAATAAAAAGGTACTATCTGTAGATCTACCTTAAGCAGCATTATATTAGAAAGTAGAAAAGAGAGGTTTGCATGTTTGTCCTGTAACTCATGCCCTTGCCTCAGGATCTACCGTTGGCTAGTTAAAGACAGGTTACTAGAATAGACCTTTGACCTGGTTCAGTATGATTGCTCTTAAATTGTGCTCTAATTTGAATAATAAATATGAATTCTTGAACAGATTTGAAAAGTGAAAGTGGGTTAAAGGTAGAATATGGTGAAAGAAATGCAGGGTCAGTGTCAGTCTAGCTTCAATAGGGTGTTGCACAACAGGGCTATGACAGCTGGCATCGGATGAGAGCTCGCTGTTTTTTCGTCATGATAGTGAGATTTTATAAATGAAGGACTTGACAGTCACTGAGGAACCTGAGAAACAGGTTGCTATTTGCTTTACTGGGTTCAGTTTGAAAGGTTTCCTTCATGTGGCTGGAAAATTTACAAAAATTAGAGCAAAGTGCTAACAAAAAATTATGAAAGTCATCCTTAGGCCAGTCCCAGTTTTTAGGAAGGATATTTTTATTTACCTGCCTGGGTCTCTGGCATTCTGCTTCTTGCAATGCCAACTAGCTTTACTCTCTTCCAGCCTCACCAAGAGAAAGGAAGAACAGGAATTAAGTTTAAAGAGTTGATGGCTACACTTCCAACAGAGAAGGAGAAGAATTTTGTATGTCTGGAGGAGACAGGGAGGAGTATATAGTTTTATTTAATCCTCTAATCTTTAAATTCCTTATCCTTCCGCCTCTTTGTTGCCTGATGAATGCTTTGATTTCCTGCAATGCCCTCAGGGTTGCAGGAGAGAGGACTGGTGACAAATACTGGATGTGCTGCAGGTGACAGATGCCTCTCAAAAGGATTACGGGCAAACTCTTTTGAACCTGCACTGAAAAACACCACGAAGTTAGGACCCCGGTGAAATCACAGACGTAATTTCAAAGGACTACACACGCATAATGAACTTACATTGTGCAAAAGGTCTACAGAGAGCTTGGTTTGTGTGCTGCCGTGATGGTGTAACTGGCAAGCAATTATTTAAACATCAGAGGAATAGTTACTGGAAAGACTGCCCAGAGCATCACAGTAAAGCCACTCTGACAGAGGCAATGCACATTTACTATAGTAACCTGCTGAAGTCAAGCTGCAGAAACAACAGATCTGTAAAATATGGGACTTCAGTATTTAACTTTATCAGGGTATTGGGTTCTTATGTGGGTAAATATTCTCAGTTAAGAGCACAGTTAACCCCATCCACTGCTCTCTGCTCATGTCCAAATCCTAGTATGAAATTGGCAGTTCACAATCAGAGGCTGTGCCAGATTTTCTGATGAAGCTGTGACACCCCTGGCAGAGGGCAGACCAGAAGCACTTGAGTCTCTTACGGCTCCCCAGGGTCACATATGGCTCCGTAGGGCAGCCTAGGGACTGTAGGACTGCTGGCAGTGATGCTCTGCGCATGACGGGCTTCCCAGGACCAGCGGGCTTCTAAAACGTTGCTGCATGCTGAAGACCTAGTGGGAAGTTTCCAAGAGGATGTGAATAATTTCTACTTGCTTGCTTCTCACAAGCAGTGGGAAGAGATGACAGAAGAGCTGGCACCTCAAGTTAAAGTAAAAAAATATTGTCTGTTTCATACAAGATCTTTAGGTTTTCTGGAATATAGAAAGTTAAACAAATTCTACCTATACAGAAAAGATCAACATTTGCCCAAGATTTCAGAGAAAGGCAGAATCCTGTACTAGACCTTCTGCAGTGATTTAAATGCATTACTATCATAAATTCAGAGCAGTATCTTCAGTACTGGGCTAACTCAGCTGACCCTTCAGTTAGCAACTATAAAATACAAGAGATAAACACGTTTAGGTTTTGGAACATATGCTGTCAAAGTTACCCAATAACGCACTTGTTTTCAGGATTATAGTTCAAAGAGCATTTATAGCAGACACACAAGTATGCCGTTGCCTGTTTGCCTGAGATCACACTGAACAAAATTCAAAGGATCAATTTTTTTGCCTGTGTCAGGACCTAGGAGTCAAACATTTCAGCGTAAACAGAGTTTTAAAAATACCTTTTTGTAATGTGTAGGTTGCTAGGAATGACACAAAGGAAAGCATCAGTTGTAAATACCCTGCAGACCAGAAAATTAGTGGCATGTGATACACTCCAACATGATTCTAACAGTTCATTTCAATGTGGCCTTGTTTTTTATTTACTTAACAAGGATAACTGTTGCTAGAAAGTTCACAGGCCATCTTCTGGCACTTTTTGCTTTTGCCATCTAATTCAGTGTTATTTTCCAGTGCTAAACCATATGCACAATTGTACCTCTACAACATGCATACATCCATATCAGAACAGGAGAGAGGTGTCTCAAGATTTTGGGCAGACTAGGTGCGTGGATTGCTTTCATTTTCATTATAATCCTCATGCTATTAATTTTATTTGTATAAATTATTTTTTTAATATAATTGTTAAAGTGCATAGTACTCTGTATACAATATATTCAGTGTACTGTCCATAGGCTTTTCTGCCTTTCTAGGTGATGCATGAAAATCTAGGAAATCTCTGTCCCAAGACACAAACTTAAGGTGAGAAACACACTCAGGAGTAGTAATGAGGACACAGAAGAAGAATTGTTCCCTAGAACTAGTGGGTCTGAAATGACTTTGATTTTTTTATTGCTGAGTAATTACAGGTGTAAAAAGAATGCTAGCGGTAGAGACAAAGAAGAGCTGATTTGGAGGGACCAGGGTAAAATACAGCAATGTACCTAGCACTAAGTTCCCATCCATGATAGGGGCTGGGACAGGCTGTTTGTTTTGATTGTGGGTCGCATCCAGAATTCAATATAAAAAAAAGATTAGTCACATTTTAATATTCTCATGTTAGTTTTGCAACAATTCATTACATCTAGAGTCTCTCTTTCCCTGCATCTTACAAGGTCATCCTAAGGTAGCGGGTTTAAAACACTACCACTACCACTCTGACTTAGAAGCTTTATACACCAATTTGCAGAGAATTCAGAGCTGCAGACAATGCAATCCCAAATGAGCAACTGCTAGGATAGTAATTTTTCTCTTCAGGCTACAGCTGTTCTTTTAATTTCAGACTTAAATTGTTGTAAAGAAGTAATACAAGTTATCTGTAATCACACAGAGTTTGTTGTGTTTCTGATGTTCCTCTGGAAATTGAAGGAGAATGATTCCTCCACAAATGACCGTCATGTAAAATCTTCTTACCTTAGTTCCTGAAGTAGGTACGAGTCCCACAGCTGCCATATACGTACTTCCAATTGTCTTGATCTTTTCTATGTCCTTATAACATTCTTTGTCCATAAGCTTTGTTTAAAACATAAAACTGTTAAATATTACATAGTATTTTAGACAAGCAACCATAGCTATCACATAATATGTGCAAGTTGATTAAACCATATTATTTTTGGTTAAATTGAGGCTTGCCCACTTTGAAGTCATTGAGATAAACTATCATTAATTCACATTTTAATACTCTTCCTATATTAGAGGTATTTGAGGTCAGACTTACGTGCCTGAAAGTACAAACTGGGCACTTTGGAGAAGCTACAATTACCAGCTACAACTAAATAGGAAGTTTACAGTCCTCTTTTATTAGGCAGTTCAAGATGCGCTGAGTTGCTATAGAAAATCTCTGTTGGTAATAATTTGGCAGAACCAATATGGTCAAAATACGAAGTGTTTAGACCTTACCTCATCAAAATCAGCAATAATTTCATTTAACAGGCGTAAACATTCCACTCCCATATTATTGCCATCCAATTCGATGTAGAAATCATTGAAATTTGGTATGGAAGCAAACATCACTCCCACTTGTGAATATGACTGGTAATAAAGGTCCTGCAGTTCATGAGCAGATACAAATTTTATTTTAAAAGATTAATCTAAACCAGGCATCATTATTGTGATATCTGTTATACTACTAAGCAATAGCTACGACAAAACCCATGATTTCTGGTAGAGAGAAAGCCAACGTTATCAAAAAAGTGTTGAAAGATCTCGCCATTCAAAAACACAAAAGAAAATTAACACCTAGTTTATTAAACCTATTTAAAACAACTTAGTCTTTTTCTCTGTTTAGACATGGAAGCAGTGAGTAAAAATTCTGTAGAAAGTCTTAACAGTTGTAGAACTTTCATTGTATGAGAAATATAATTGCATTTTCTCAATTAGGAGATGGAACCAGTTTACCCTGTGGCACAAAGCCAGCCAGGCAACTCTTTCCCTGAGTTGCCGAGTCCTGTATTCAACATTTACAATATAATGATGTTCTGTACAGTAAGGTTTCTGCTTAAGAATTTGGAGGGGTCATGGAAAGTAAAACCACTCTTCCATGGTTCAAACACATTGATCCAAACCCTCCAGAGCAGTATCATGGCCGTTCCAGCTACTCCAGTAAGGGCTTCCTGAACCAATCTATTTAATCACTGCAGCCTTTGATGTTAAAAGCTAGTGTCTCTCTTGGGTGTGTACAATTCTCTGTTTTTAACTTTAAATGGATGGGTTGGTAACAGTAGCGTATTTCCAGAACTAGAGTGGTTCATATGGAAGTGTCTGGCAGTTCATAAACTTCATCATTCAGAACGAAACTGACCTCATAAAATACTGTGATAAATTCCAGTGTTCTAAGTTGAACAACAACAACAAAAAAAAAGTGATTTGCACGCAGATACTTGGCTGCATTGATGTGTAATGACACAAAATTCCCTTATCCTGCTTTTGTTTAACATTTGTCAGAGAAGGAGGTCACTACAGCAAACTAAATAATCCCAATCTAATTCTTGAACACAAATTTTTACAAAACTATTCCTTTTAACATGAATGGAATTTTTTAAGTCCAAGTTTTTTTTTGAAAACATCCAGTTGAAGGGTGACCCAACCTACACACAGTCACCCCCATACATGATCACCATGTATTTAAATTTTATCTTGGTTTACCATATTTCTTGGATTAGACATAAGAAAGTGCTGTGCAACATGTGCTGGCAACAGGTTGAAGAGAATTCTTTTATTATCCAACTTGACTCTCTCCATATCATCTCTCTCTTCTTCTGCCTGTGGAGATAGAGGAAAAGAAAAAACTTTACAAAAAACAAAAAATCTGCTGAAGCCATCAAACAGCTTCTATTAATTCATCATTTGAAATTAAACTGAGCAAAATAATTCTTGAAAAGTAGAGTGGGAACAGTTCTCTTATACCATGCTTCTACACTGGGGCAAAATTCCTTTAAGTCTTCAGTAATTCAATCTAAAGTCTCTGGGCTGATGACTACTTTCAGGGCTTGATCAGCTAAGTGTATTAGTGTCTTCTGTAGTTCTCCGTTCTTTTAAAAAGGCCCTTGATATTTTTACAGATTAAAAAACTAGAATAATCCCACTTAAACCACATTGGCCTTGGAGGCCAATTACTTCCCAGATAGGAGGAGAGAGTGACAGCAGTTTAATCCACTTTTCAAAAAAGAGAAGCCTGGAGAATTGCTAGTGTTTAAAACAAACCTACATCATTTTGCAGTAAAATGGAATCAGACCCGGTAAGACAGTAACTTCAACAGAAAAAAAGGTTTTAAAATTGAACATCTTTAAGAATGATACGCAATTAAATAAAAATATTTTAATATAAAAAATAAATTGCATTTATAGAGGTGGCTTTAACTACTCTGTTTTTTGTCATGAACACATATATAGTTCCTACACACAGAGATTTCTGTGCACAACAGCAACAGAAATTCTATCATTCATGTGAATGACAGCATTCAGGAAGAGTGCCCAGGAGCTAACACAGCTGAGCTCCTTAACCCAAGACACTGGTATCTTATTACAGGTGTCTTGCCTCCCAGGAATTAGTGGCAGTCAAGCATTAGGAAACAATTCTAGAAATCAGACTCCTTACAGGAAAAATACTGTACATCTAGAGATCTTATTTGGGACTCTTAGGTTTCCAAATTCCAGCCTAGTCCATTGTACTCTTCAGCAAAATTACTTCTCTAGAATTTGTTCCTTGTTGTTAAAGTGACTTTTGGCCTCACATTATGATTTCAATTAGAAAATAATTGATCAGCACCATATAACTAATCTCATATAAATCACAGCTTATTCTTTGCTCTTCAATCATACTCATAGACCTGTAACACAAACCTTCTGCTATGATCCCAGTATGTTTTTTTTCATCTAGTTACAGTCAGCAGAAAACTGGAAAGTAAATTCTCAGGCATTGTTGAGAATCTACAATCACATAAAGCACTGAAGAACCAGCTCTAATCTTTGTTGGTATCCTGTTTTCTATCTAGAATTTGCTATCCTGATCTGTCACAAAGTCCACATACTTTTCTCACTATCCATTCCTGTCTAAGTAGGAGGAAACCCGTCACCTCTTGCCTTTGTATAGTCTTATAATATTCTTTTAATGCAATTTTTTTTTTTTTTTTTTTTTTCCAGGAAGCTAATTTGTGCTTTCCATAATTTCCTTGCTGTTTACTTCTGTATTCGTCAATTTCTTTGCAAGTTAAAAGAATGCTGAAAGAGAACTTGTTTTATAAACATAACATCTTCAGGAAACATTCTTTTTTGAAATAAATTCTCAGCTTCTTTGGATTGTGTAATAAGAATCAGAATTCACTCCAGAGCTGAAATATCAGTAAATAAACGGCCGTTAAGCTCTGCAAGAAATATACCTGAAATTTTTATTCTAAGCAAGTATTTATTTCCTTTTTGTGAGCTGTTCTCCCGACACTTTTTGCTGTTTAGATTTCATATGCTGTTTTCTTAAAATATACTTTCGCTATTTTGGTGGTATAATTCTTTCTTATTGTTGTCTATAAACATGTGTAATGGCCTCTTGTGTTGTGTCTGACTGTTGGAATTTAAATATTCTAATAGTAAAAATAAAAAGCTTTTTCCAGCTGAAAATTCAAACCAAGGTTACAACTCTGTTTTACATCATACTGGAATATGGGAAATTTTATTCTGATGACCGGAAAGAGATTTGCAAACTGAACTCATGCTCTGAATAAAAAAATCCATTTGGGACTTGCTTATCCAATTCCTCTATTTTTTGAATATGAATTTTTTTCCTACTTTCTTCTTAGGAACACTTAAGGTTCTTAGTTAAGCTCCCAATACAATATGGGGCGGCATAGCAGCCTAAAGAACAATACACCTTTGGGCCAAGGCGTAGAGATTTCTGGACAAGTCAATGTAGTCAAGCAAGGGCAGGTAAGTGGAGTAATCAGTTTGATGCGTTGCATGGATACTGATGTTGCTCAATCACTGGCAGCTACTGTTCATTTCTGATCTTGAAACGTGATCAGATTCCTCTGCCTTGCCTAGTCATTGACCACAGCATTCATTTTGGAAGACATGATTGAGAAGGTTCATCAGCAATATGATGTGTTTCCTACCACTGCATATGATTCATATCAAAGATTTCAGAGAAAGCCACGGCACAAGAACAAAGCTGCCAGAACTGAAGCAGATGCTTGTGACCTTGGTCATGTTGCTAGACTTCTGACCAGCCTTTGATGCACAGAAATAAAAGACAATTCTAATATAGCAACATAAAATGAATGAGAAAGGACAGGCTATCCTATTGGTTTTCTGGTTATTTCCTTCTGATGGAACTTTAAGGCATGTGATTGCTTTTCTCCTCCTTTCTGTCTTGCTTCAATAGAGTCACGAAGCTACTGGGAGAGAAATGCCAGTGCCACTACTGTGTGTGTGCAGGTATCGGTGTGACAATGTTCACAATGATGGGACCACAGCTGTGACTAAGAGGCTGAGAACTGAGCTCTTCAGTGGAGAGCTAGTGGCTCAAACCAAACCACCAAAGTCATGAGTGAAGGGGTGGCAAAAATCTGTAAGAGCAGGGAAGGGCACCAAGGATGTTGCCATTTGATAAGAAACACGGTAGAATGTTTAATTTCCAACACACCTAGCAAGTGTCTCTTCTCGTCTTCAGATGCAAAGCTGTTAACTACAATTTTGACTCTGAGAAGCTTCAGTTGCCAGAAATGAGAAGAAAGCCACTAAGGTTATGCAAGGCCCTTGAATCGTACCATGGTGGGTAAGGGTAGCAAACACTAAATAGAGAGAAATTATGCAAAGAGCAGAACAAGGAGAAAGTAGGCCAAGTGCCCTTAGCTTTTTGTGCCCTGACCTATTTCAGGTCAGGCACTTCCTAGCCAACAGGGATCCTCTCTCCCTGTGGTTCAGGAAGATGTTTGCCTATGTGGACCAATGCAGTGCCATGAAGAATAAGTTGCATTAGTCTGACCTAGCCCCAGCCCCAGAAGCATGGAATTAGCCTAGCACTCCTTCTAAGCTACTTAGTCATGCTGAAAAGCAAGGAATATTAGCTTAGACCACACACTGGTTAATACTGCTATATTGTTGCTGGTACCCTCGCCAGAGTCTCTGCACAGACTGCACTTACACCATCCAGACATACCCAATGTCTCACATCTTGCCTTTATTAAAGTGATCTTCTAGGAATACGAACTGAAGTGTACCTTCTCTGCTGCCACTGCATGGCATTTGAGTACCCATCCTCTCGCCCTGCACTGCCTAAGACAGCTCTCATATATGCAACTGCTCAGGAGCTGCCCGGGGAAAGAGGAGAGATCTCCTTGTGTGCCTTGCAAGGGAAGATAAGGAGTGAAGGTGAGGTAAAAAAAAGACACGGTCATGTTCAGCAGTGAGGACTCTAAAACTATCCCATCACACAGCTTTGTGGGTAGGGAAGTAAACCAATTACTGACATTTTCCAGACCTTTTTTCAGCTTCCTGCTTTCTGCCCTTCAGGGGAAGTCAATGAAAACTGTCTTTCCTCCTTGTGACTCATGAACTCCTAGTGCCTCCTCTTTGAGCAGCTGAGATAAAAGGATGTGTAGGCATCACCCTTTCCCAGGCAAAACAGACACCAAGAAGTGAGAAGGAGAACTTTGGGCTGGAGAAAGAAGATTAAAATAGCACAGATTGCAGGTATTTACATTCCTGGTGGAAATATTATCCAGAGAGCTAAATAGTGTCCAAACTGCCGTCTATTTGCCCCTATTACTATTGGTTAATTAAGGAAAGCTGCCAGCATGATATTTATGCAGTAGCTGCAAGCTCAAAAAACAAGGCAGATGACAACTGTGAAAATAAAGGAAGAAAATACATAAGCATGAGCAACATAATTTTTCACATTCTGCTTTTTGCTTATATCTGTGTGGTATTTGTGGCAGCTAGGCAATTTTGCAGAGCTTAACTGTATTTGCAGAGCTGCAGTATTTAAAAGCAGGCTTTGTTTTCACTTCTGACCTGGCCACAAAATTTCAAGTATTCTTTGGTACTATGGCTTTTGACATCAATGTAATTGACAGCTACTCCATTTTACAAAATTACACAGCATCCCACAGTTTTTATAATGCTGGTAACTGGTTACATGTCCTCTGTTCAGGAAGTGGTCTGAGCTCTTGTATCACATGAGCCGTCAGGTGACTGTTTAATAAGCATAAAAAAGCTGTAGCAATGTCAATGACTGAAGAGTTATCACATGAAAATCCACTGTTTCAAGATGCAGCTAAAAAGAAGCTGGGCACTGGTGCTGCAGAAACATAATTTTTGTACCTGAAGGTGGCACTAAGCCCACAGGGAAGAGAACTATGGCTCTGCTTCTACAGGGCCATGTTTTAAGAGGAAGTGCAAGCACACCTGGCAAAACTTGCCTGCCGACTCTAAAATACATATTTCTTACGAGTATCATGGATTAGCACAGACAACTGAATAATATTCTAGTATCCCCTAAAGAATGCAACAGTCAGTCGTATCACTGTATTATTCTTATTTTCCTCCGCTGACAAATCCTGGGTGAGTGAGCAACTCCATTTTTTGGGCAGTTTTAGCTTCTTCATAAATCTGTTGCTTGTATTTATTTGTCCTTTCCTCCTTACCCTCCCCCGCCAGTTTTGCTGAATAATCTGCATAAGCAAAAGTGATTATAAATTAGTAAAATGCTCCTACATTTGCAATCCACAGTTATTGTCATATAAGGCACACAGAATTACGCAACAATGTTATGTAGAAGATTAAATTCTCCTCCCATTGCCTGTTAAAAATCACAACAACAATCAACAGAAATTTTCTGGAACTACTGTGATATTCAGAACGGTTAAATTTGGCACAGAAAAAACCCTAGCAAAATCAACAAGAAGCTATAACACCATGAATGTGTGAACAGTAAGTACAAATATAAATGTTTTAACAACTTATCATCAACCAGAAAAATGTTTTTTTTTCCACATGATGTACATAAATCATACTGTATTATCTCCATTCTGATTACGTAACCCAAATGCACAGAAATTAGATTAACTTTTCTTGAAACTGTATCATTTTTCTAAATCAGTTTTTCTTGTCTGAAATCTACTCTTCCTCAAAACACATTTTTTTCCTGATGTGGCAGACAGAATCTATGGAGATGGGTTTTCCTCAGACCTCAGGATAGACCACTGAGCATCCACATATATATTCTTATTAGTAACGGTATTATTTGCAGGATACTTTCAGTGTTTAAAATATCATTTAGTTAGTACAAGACTGTTTGTTGTTCATGATGAAGTAAATGAAAATATCTGTGAAATCCTTTTTATTGCAGCTTATGCCACAGCTGGTTTTATTCATCTGGGAGCGTTTTTACAGGATTAGCCCCACAATGAGCCTTACTAACAGTATGCAAACAAACTGCTTACGGCTTTCAAAATAGCCCTTGAGTCTGCAGTTCTCCCAGTTGCAAGCTAACAGTTGAGAAGCTTCCTAAAAATACATGTTGTACCATCTTAGCACATCTTTCAGATGGCAGCAGCTGGCTACCGGGAGCAGTGAGTTTCCAGCTCTAGCAGTGGTTCATGCAATTCAGTGTCTGCACAAAGAACCAGCATACTCACTCTGCAAAACAGAAGAAAATCTCCGCAGTCCCCTGTGCACTAAGTCAATGGTGTTTCTCAAACTCCTGCTACCAAGAACGTAACCAAGTTAAGCCAATGTGGTTGAATGGTAAGTAGCACTGGGGCTGTAGCGAAACGCGACCAAGAACACTGTTTAACCATATACAGGGCTCCTGCAGTCCAGCAGTTAGAGAAAACTGTCACTCAGAAAGGTGGGTTTTACCCTTGTCTGCTCTTAAAGATTGTTAAACAATTAGTAGCTTGGAGTTTGTTAACTACTCAAAGGCAGTTTTAACATATAGATATTTCCAACCAACAGTCTTCCTAGAGCTTTTAATACTCAGATTTTTACTACGCCAAAGAGCCTAATAAGTACAAAGATAATGTTTGTTTGTTTGTTTGTTTGTTTGTTTGTTTGTTTTTTCCATTTGAATAGGTAAGCACCGTAAGCACTTCTGTAGCACCCATCACAATGGTACTTCTGCATGTTATGTTAATTAGCCCTTGTATTCAATATCATTTACAACCCATACACAGAGCGGAAAATGGGACAACCTTCCTCACAGCCTGTTATCCACTATTATTTATTGTCAGGCAATAGATCTTCCATGTGGGATCGAGAAGAACAAGGGTATATGCCCTGATCATCAAAGAGACCAAGCATCTACCCAGCATACTGATTTCAAAGAATGGTAGCTATATTGATCCCTGATTTCTGAATTTTCTACTTACACTGATTTTTTTTCCTTTCTGCAAATCTCACAGACAAGATGATACCACATAGATGCTACCTGATTTGCAATTGAAAAGATCTGAAAATGGCATTTGATCTTCTCAGATCAAGAGCACTTTTTGAAATGTACCTAGGCATCCATATCTCTTAACTCCCCTTATTGTCCTTTGGAGTAAGTGCACAATGGTCTTAACAATAGTGGTAGATGACTAAGTACTGTAAAACCTAGTCCCAAGAAAACAGAAAAAGTTTGTATTTCTTCCTTCACTCTTGTCCAGTTCTGGTCTTTCAGAAGGCAAGCATCCCATTAGTTTTCTGTACTTGAATTTTAAAAACTAATTAAGAATCTTTAAGCAGTACGTTCCTTAGGGTTGCACAATTCACCGTGCAAGTCCTAGTAGCTGGAATGATGAAAAGCATGTAAGATGCTGGAACTCAATCTTGACGGGTTTAAAGGCCACAGGATAACAAAACAGTATCTCCCCTCTTGCTACTCTTTTTCATGGTTAGGAATAACATACAGGTGGTCTCGTATTCATGGATCAGATGGCACTTCCACACCTCCACCATGTGCCAATCTATATAAAGGTAACTGCTATACAGATAATCATGTGCTGATCTGTGTTTCAAAGTCAGGGGATTTTTTTTTTTTTCCACCTGAAAACTGTATTTGGCACCACAGCAAGCGGAAACTATTATCAGTTTGCCCAAAACAAACTCCTGACAGTGTCATGCACAGCACCTATCAATACTGCAGGTCAGAGGACAAAAATTAAATGAAGTGATCACACGTTGTTGACTCAGTTAAACAGCACAGAGTTCACAGAAATTATAGAACAAGATAAACTTAAATCGTAAAGGAGGTGGACATAGTCTTGGACATCAAGACAAACAAAAAATCCTAACAGAGCTTAAATGTTAGATAGAAAATAATAGAGCTAAGCCATTCCTGATTTCTCCATTCTAGGTAACACAGTAGATCCAGGGATGCGTTTAACCCATGTGTTCCAGTCTTGATCTCACACGTAAAAGCAAGCACTGTGACGATTTATACAGTCCTCTTAACAACACAGTTAACAGGGTTTAGGTGAGAATATAACGGGACCTCTATGAACTACAAGAGTGTAAGGTTTATCGTAAAGGCAACTTCCAAATTCCACCAAAACAAACTTACATCTTCTTAAACTTTCTCCTTATCTCGGGGGCCAGTGTGAAACACTTTGGAGGTGGGAATAGGACTGCTGAGAGGCCTGACAGGAGATAGACATTTCCTAATGTCCCTGCTTGTTTCTATGTGTTTTGCTGTGATTATGATAGTTAGAAAATATATTTAAAAAAAAAAAAAAGTCCATGTACTTGGTTTCTAAATAAATTTCTGATCTTCCTTTGGGAAAGAGTTTCATAGTTTCGTTGCATGATATGGATGCAAGTATTTCCTTTTTTCAGTTTTATTTGCTTCTTTTCAGTTTACCTGAACTTCAACCTATTCTCACCCCTTTTTGTATTATAAGATGAAAAAAACCCATGGATTTTATTTCTTTATCTCAAGGTAATATTGCTAACAGTCATTTTCCCATGGTTGAAATTTTCTCCATTCATAATGCATCTTATATATATTACTTCATTAATGATGTAGTGTTATGGAACAACTTGAAACAAAAAACCCACAAACTTCTCCAGTGCAAATGAAGTTTATAGGTCTGTGGAAAGAAAGCTCTAACAATTTTTCTCTGTAAAACTCATCAGACATGAAAAATTTTGAAAGTGTCTTAGTCCAAATAATTTGTTCCTAGAGTAATTGCAAGCCAATTCAAAAAGTCAGACATCATTTTGTGTGCATGGAAACTAGAAAGAAAAGTCCTACGACTGACCTGCACAGCCCAGAGGTAGTCCAGACGCAGCTTCAAGTCCACCTGTCTGGAATGCAGTGCCAGAGCACAAGAAAATAGCAAAATGGCTAGTATTGGTTCATAGCCACGCATATAAAAGGAGCCACCCCTTAAAAATAAAAAGAAAGTAAATGAGTTATTCCAGTTTTTCTAATATGTAACACTGCATATTTTTAATATCAGATCTTTAGTTTAGAACACGTGGGTACCCTCTAATCACTAACCTTTTCTGAAGAGGTTCATACAGGCAGGGAGATGGTTGACAATAAATCTGATCACGGCATCACACAACATTCAACTTCTTGAGGATTTTATAACATTATACATCATTGTAATGTGTGTGCAGGCTTTTAATTAGGAAATATAAAACCACTCAAAATCTCAAAAGCTTAAATGAAATTTGAATTGAGGGCTGCTGAAATATGGAAGTGAAGTTTTTAACTTTGTTTTTCTATTTCATATTATAATTAGACTGCAGTGTGTTCAGCTGAGGTATGTTAGCATAAAAAAAATGGGGCAACAGTTGATAGTTCCCAAAAGCTGATCTCCTGTTGATGGATATTACTAGACTCTACAGTTGCTGGGAAGAGGGTGGCTTAACGGTCTGCTGAGTATATCGCCCTAAGCAGCACTGAATGCTAGAGGACAATTCACAGATGAGTAGTCAATGTTCTGACTATCTGTACAGAAATACCCATTGCTTTAACTTTGCAAGATACCTACCCCACTGCTTTTCTGTAACCACTGAGTTCCAGAATAACTATGTACAAAATTGTAACAAAAAGCAGGAGAATCATTTTTGGCAAGGAAGATACACGTAGAAATATTGCCAAGGTGAGAGTTCCCACTACACAGGAAAGGAAAGCATAGTGGGCTGTGTCACATGGAAGTTCATTCATTGTTTTATTTGTTCCACCAGGAGAAATGATAACTATTGAACTGCTGGAATTGGTATTCCAAACCCAAGGCATACAGCCAACCTAGAAGAGACAGGAGAGGCAAGAAGGGGAGAAAGTTAAATATGAAATAAACAGAAATGCAGCTGCTGTGGGGGCTGACTGTAGTTCATTTCTAACTGGGAAAATATGGCCGTGGAGTTCCCATCCAGCTCATTGCTCTAATAAAATCTCTCTCCCTTTCCTGTAATGCTTTACTCAGTTTTAGGTGGAGACACACTTTTTTCATTAGATACCAGTAAGCCCAAACAATTAAAGTCTGGGCTTAGTTGAATAGTTTCCCTCTCAGTGCTCAAAACCAAGAGATTCTGAAGCCATTATATTCCTGCAAAATTAAGGAACTTCAGTAAAAATTTTATGTGGCCATGCAGATGAGAAATATTCTTAAACAATCACAGAAAGAAATGTGCTTGTTTTATTGACTATGTAAATTGTATCAAATTCAATTAATCAAATATAAAATAAAATGTATTTTAATCTTTCACTGAAAAGCTAACCATGAATAATATATTTTCTCCACCTCAGAGCTACTTCTGTTATCACATATGATTCAAATATAAGGCCTCATCTTTAATTATCCCTGCCATTTCAGTTATCCAAGGAGATCCATTTCCTCCTCAGACTGGGAAATAAAAAAAATGTTTTAGTGCATTTATTATGGGAAATTTGAGGAAATTTAACCTGCTTCTTCCCAAGGCAATGTCATGTACACATCTCAGAGCTGTTACCCAAGGAAGGGAGGATTTTCTGGCAAATAGTCCAAGTCCCTAGAGCTCCAGTTTTAATTGCACTCCAACCTTCACCCCTTGCAAAGGCAGAGGATAAGAGTTAGCATAAAGGGAGTGAGTGGGATGGTAATGTGAAATTGATTTTAACAGGCAGTGCTGCATAAGCCCTGCCCTGTACTTAAGCTTCCCTTTTGAAGTGTTATTAGACCTTTTCATTTTATCCTAATCACTGATAATGAAATTTTATAGCATGCTGTAAAATAACTGACAACCTGAAAGGTGATTAAGCAATATATTTTACAGGGGGTTGTAGTCATTTAAAAAGATGAGACATAACAGATAAAATGTGAGTTAAACTCATAACGGCTAACATTATGAAATGAGATGAGAAAGAGTGTAGTGAAAACTCTATTTAATGTGATTTTGTTCAATAGCCTTAAAAATACTGTTCTTACTAAACTCATCTGAAAACACAGGCATGCATGAGGGCTTCATAAATGATGTGCAATCCATGCAGGAAAACACCATCTGCTCTACAAGAGTGAAACCTCAACACATAGCTCTTCTAATAGTTGTGAATTCTGGAGGCATTACTTTGCAGGAACTAATAATTTCTGTTGATTAAACATTTCTCCCAAGCATTTAAATGGTTAAAGGCTATTTTTGCTTCAGTATAGGATAAAGTTATATTTGTGACCTATTCAAAGTTGTAACTGAATGATCACTGCCTTGTTGGAGGCCAGAACTTCCGAATTCTAATCTGCCTTCTTCCACCAATGTTCAGCGTTGCCTTAGGCCTGGTGATGTCTGTTACTCATTCTCACTGTCTTTAAGTGGTAACAGTGATACTTTTTTTCATTTGGTCAGAGTAAGTGCCAGATCTATGGGGGGCTGATCCACAAAGGTTCCAGCTGTCATAACACTAATCTCAATCCCGAAGTCAGATACACAGAATTTGCAGAGATGCTAGCGAGCCTGGAGGCACTGCACATCTCAATGCATTTTGGGCTTATATGCACCTAAGGAGCCACCTATGCCTGTGTGCTATTAGGGCCGTGTGTTACTCACACAGCTGACGTTCAGGAATTCCCAGAAAGGTCTGAACATCAGTAATTCTTGTACCTCTCAGGACATTGGAATTCGCAGACAAGGGATCCTCTGCCCATTCAGTTCATGGAGATCAGCTTGGTAGATGTTCTCAGGGCAGGTCCAAGGACGAGTGAATACACAAAATACAAAATAAGGGGCTTTGCACCTCAGTTAGCACTGTGAATTGCTCATGAAATTACTGTCTTCTGGTAAGAATACACTGTCTAAATCCTGCAGAGAGGCACGATTTGAGACATCTGCCTCCTCAGCATTTCCAATTGTGTTTAGCATGCTATTTTTGTGTGGATTCCTTCCTTTGGGTACCCTAACATGTTTAATTCATTAGCACTAGGAGCCAAAATGCTGAAATTGAGTGCTAGGAATTTGACAAGTCAACAAAATGCCAAATACTTAGGTGGAAGTTTAAATCCCATTTGACATTCAAGTCCACCATGAAGAACAAGCTGCTGTTCTACAGTAAAAGAAGCTCAATTTTCAGAAGTATTGAGCAAGTTTCCTTCATACAAGAGAAGCTTCAAAGACATCAGGTGTGAATGGATCATATAAGTAGCACAGTGTAAGCACCTCTTCTTGTTATGCAATAGTGTCCGTATTTTAAGATCTCGTTTTCTTTTCTGATCTGCCTGAGCTAAAAATATCCCCCTGTTATTACACAGACATATGTTCTGTAAGTTGCCACATAGAAATAAGTAATGTTGCTTGATGTCTTGCCTTGTCTGTCACAACATATTAGCCACTGAACTAGTAAGCATGCTGAACATTTAAAATTAGTTTTCCCATAAAGTACATGACATCATCAGACTCTGTGATACTAAGAACTGACATAAAAATTTCCACAGGTGTTGACTAAGTATTATCTGTGTAATTTGCTGATAGCTTTGCCATTCCTAATTCAATACCCTGACTCAGGGCAGTGGAAGTTCAAAATACAGCAAAGTGCTTTAATTTTGAAGAAACATGCTCTGAAAGTATGAATAATAAAAGCAATAGGAATTCACCAGATGAGAATATGGTATGTGTTTAACAGATCCGTACCAGGCTGTTCTTTAAACAGAATGCTAAATTGATGCTTTATATAAATACTCACCACACATCCTTGAGCCACGGAGTATATTAAGATCACAATAAAAATACACAAAATGGTACGAATTTGTATTGTCAGGCACCCTGGAAAACACTAAAGAAGAAAAAAAAATTAAAGATTTAAAAATATTTTTTAAAGTGCGCTTGTTATTATTTAGTAGTCTATGAAAAGAAGTGAATGAGGGATACGGAAATTTTGCCTGCACTGCAAATGAAGAAACAAGCACACAATTATTATTGTGTACATGCGTTTTAATGGTAATTCCATTTTGGGGGTTAATAAATATGAAATTATTATTACTATACATTATTTCTCACCGTAACTAACAGTCTTCAAAAGATTAGTAGGGTGTTTGCTCATAATGCAAATAATAAATTAGGACGGCATTTGATTTTATTCTCATGGGGAAAATACCCAAAGCATCTTTTGCCTTGCAAATTATCCGCTACAAATAATGATCCAAGAGAACATACTGTGGAAGCATAGTATTTTGGAGTGGTATTTGTGTCTTCTGCTATAATAGTCACGTTAAATGCCAGGGTAGTTTTCATTATCAAGACTCATTAAAAATATTGAATTTGTCAGAACAGAAAGAATAGTAGAGAACAAAAATGTCTGATATAATGGAGTCTTGTAAATCTCTTGCTCATATCCATTTTTAGCCTCATTCCATCAATGCGAAGTGTGAAGTGCTTGCTGCTGTCAGCATATATGAAGCCAGTGACAGAAGGTGTGAGAGTGAGGATAAGTCTGTCAGGCTCTAGTAGTTATGCTTGTTCCAGCCATACTGACCTACTCTGGTTTCAGTAAAAGCTGATTTCTTTCTTTTCCCCTTTCATTATGAATGTTTGAGGCATCTATTATCTACTGGATCCACGATATGTATTTCAGACCACAGGACTTCTTCCAGTGACCTCAAGGGGCAAGAATCAACTCCAGGAAAGAGTCAGATTTAAAGTGAGAACAATCCTGTGTCCCTTAAAAGGGGGGTGCTCAGATTTATCAAGGCTGGATTTGACTTAAGATCAAATGGAGCAAGCAAACACCTAAGTTTTGGATGAAAGTCACTAGTCACAAACATCAAATGCATAGCTTCCAGCAGGAAGCAGAGTACCCACAGAGAGGGGCTTCTGTGTCCCTGGCAGAACAGAAATCATGTATTGAAACTCCTCCCCTTCCTTTCACATATGCAGAGATATTTCCCCTGTATGTGTGACCATGAATTAAAAATTTGAGATTGTTACACGTGAATCATCTTCATCTGGACTGTGAGACATGAGAATACAGCAATTACAGAAAAAATAACCCACGTGTGATCTGCAAATACATTCTGGCTTCAGTATGGATTAAGTCGATGTCAATGTAGGTTGGGAACAACCAACATAATTTCATTAGTAGATTTATATACGCATACTATGGACCTGAGTTAACTGGCTTTTCCAGAAACCAGTTTAACTATTAGTCAGCATCAGTAAAATATATTGGGATACCTGAGGTATATCACTTTTAATAAAACAGTGAGCATATTGTAGAACAAAAACCTTGAATTGTAAGGATCTCACATTGACAAGCTGTGTCTCAAGGAAGGGGATACAGCAGTGTCCAAAATTACACTATGAAAAAGAGATAGACTATTTCTGCATTTATTCATCACTATTGTACAGTTCAGGTTGGAAGGTACCTCAAGGGGCCCAAAAGTACTGTCTGCCTTGACCCCCTGAACCATTTTTGCAGAGCTGGTCAGTCCCCAGCCTGTGTCATTGCAAGGGGTTCTCCCTTCTCAGGGCCTGGACAGTGCATTTATCCGTGCTGGAGGTCATAAGATTTCTGCTAGCCCATTCTGCCAACCTATCTAGGTCCCCCTCAGTGGTCATCCTGCCAGTGTGTTGGCTGTACCCCAGAATTGGAGCCACCTGAAAACCCGACATGAGTATATACCACATCCTTCTCCAAGTCATTGTTAAAAATGTTTAACAGGACAGGTCTCAGGATAAACTCCTGTGGTTTATCCCACTTATTATCTGCTTCCAGGTAGAGTATGACCATTAACTGCTATGCTCTGAATGTAATCATCCAGGTGGTTTATTACTTATGAAGTTGTCCACCTAACTAGGTCAAAATCCTATGCACATATGAGGTGGAGCATGTGTGTTTTTATCCATATAAATAAAATACAAAATAATATTTTTTTTCTGAAGGAAATATATATATTTCATTAATTCAGTTTGCAATCAAATAAGTTATCTAGTGCTAGTTAAAGAGAGAATCCCCATAGTTCAAAGACAATGCTGACATTAGTAGTGTTACTAGTGACAAAGCAAAATGCAGATTCGAAGACAATGTGTCCTGACACATTGCGCAGACATTTTTTTTTGTGTGTTGTACATATATGTTGGCTTCATATTCCAAAGGACAAACAAAGCATAGGGTTAAAAAGGAAAATAAACCTTTAAAGGATAAGATATGAGACATATCTGAATCAAAACTCTGACTGACACAAGATTTATACTTCTGACTTTTGGTCATTCTAAGATTGAATCTGATCTTTTCCGACAGCATAGAATTTTGGGCTTAATTTTCTTTGTTTTCTTTTATTTGTGGAATGTGTATTAACTAAATAAGTACTGTCAGATACTCAAAATTCTAGGTAACTGGTACAATAAAGCATTTTTATACTGGTTTTATGAGTGAGGCATTTGATGTTAAAGCATGGAGAAATTGAGTCATATGTCCAGTGTAAAATAGCCAATGAAGTGCCAGAAGACTGATTAAAATAGGGGAATGATCAGTTTAAAGTTCTATATTCATTCTACATAGCATAGTCATTATCTTTTATCTATTATATAAGACAAATTTTCACCACAAAATTTCAAATGGCAATATTCTGAGTTTTTATATTTCTTTACTATTCTAATTCTGGAATGGATCTTTTAAGGTACTGAATCTCCTGAGGAACCTGGAAAAATTAAAATTCTGTTTATTGCCGAAACAGTTGGAACAAACCTTAAGTTTGCACTAGCCCAGGGAAATGGCATAAAGAAGAGTAATTTCCTACAAACTTCATCTATGTTTCTACCATCCATAGACAGAACAACAGATGATAAACTACTGTGCTTTTCTGAAATGAAAGAGATCATCAGAATTACTCCCGAATAATTGCATAAATTTATAAAGGTCTGCTCTGTACCAGATACTCTGCTAATATACTATTTACATTTCCATTAAAACAATTACTTTCCTCCTGCCAAAGGGCATTTTTTCTTAGCTAAAAATTAGTGTGTATGCTAGTCAGCAAAGCTGATTAACTGTGTAGGTGTTTTCTCCTGATATTTTCTGAAAAGTGTAAATTTAGATTAAGCCACTAAAAGTTTATTTCATCAGAAAATTAGTCCGTAGATGCTTTATTCTGATCTGGCAGGCCTAGTTCTCTCCTACAACAACCAAATGTCCTTCTGCATCATTACTGTTGTGAAAATGTAATGCAGGAGAATTAATCATTACTAAAGGTTTTGAAAAGGCCAAGGGTTGCGTGTGCAAAACATCGTGCTTTACCATCAAAACAGCTGCTGTTTGGGCAGGAAATCTTTTGAAAACAGAGGGGAAGTTAGCAGGACTTTACACCCAGATACCAGTTGGAATGGAAGGGAGAACAATGTGCTCTGTAGTCCGAAAAGTCAGGTTAAAGCTGCTGTTTATCTGAACACTGGAATTATTCAGTAGCTCATGGCAGGTGCTCAGGGAAGACGTAGAAAAAATGACAAAAAGCATAGCATTAATGGCACTGAATGCTACACTGCTGTAACAATTACTCATGCAAAAAGTCTATTTTCAGGTGAACCATCTTTGTTTTCAAAGTGCCTAATACATTCCTTAGCAATGAACTTGAAAAGCATATAGATTTCAGACTCTATGAATCTGTGAATCATGCACTGATGGCTTCATATTCCAAAGGACAAACAAAGCATAGCCACCAAAAGGAAGAATAGTCATAAAATCTTAAATCACTTACTTGTACTCGTGTGACATGTAGGTACATAATACAAGCCACTAGGAAGCATATGCAGAACACCAGAAGAACAAGAACTACGGTACTCCTAGAATCAAAACACAATGGAAGTAAAGCAATGCAACTTGATAAGACATGAGAACAAACGGAACAGGGATCATTCCTAAATGGTATTTTGGATGAATGATGGAAGATCTTCCCCTCACCCTTGCTGTAATACTAACTGTCACAGAGGAAATTTCACAGTGAAATGCACTGCTCTCAAGAACGAGAAATCAGTAAACACTCTTGTATATGGCGCCCACTCTGACCTCAGCAAGGAGATCAAAGCACCTCAAAAATTCAGTTGTATGATGTGTCAGGAGAGACACTTTCTAATTGTAGGCTAATGCAGAATATTCAGCATGATGACTCTTATAAGTGGAACCCAATAACTTGACCTTGGCAGCTGTGTAACAGTTACCAGATGCTTCTCCTTTCTAATCTCTCAAAGATTCAGAAATCAGAGGTCAGTCAACTCAGTCACTTATCAAGTCAAATAAAATCAGGCTAGACTGTGATCCCTTCTTCTAATGAAGCAGAACAACTCCTTGACTCTTCCTCAATGGTTAGAAAAATCTTAGGTTTCACAAAGATGTTGCCATAATTCTTTTAATTCTTAATCTTCCCTCTCCTGATCTTTCAAAATAGGCTTGCTCTTCATGAGGAGTGCAGACCAAGCATTTCCCTCTTCCAGAAAACCTGTGTTATTGGAACAGTACCTTACGGATGTAAGCAAGCTGGCAAAAATTAGTCCACAAGTTCTGGTGCTCTGATTTATGCTCAGGGACAGCCTGGCCCCAAGCCAACCATGGAACCAGGGCTGTATGACAGCAGCATAACATGATCTTCACACCTTCTTTTCTAGCCTTGTGAGTACAACCCAGCTAGTCCAGAAGATGTGAGCCACAGCTGAAGGCATATATGTATCTTTGCCTTTGATCATCACTGGAGAAAGATTGCTTATATGGGGTTTCTAATAGCAGAAGAGCGCAATTCTACTGCTGTTGAATTTCTCAGTATTTGGCTTTGATTTCAAATTCATGTAACAATTCCCACCACTACAGAAACAGGGAAAATTCTGTGGTGTAGTATCTGTATCCAGAATGGGGAGGTGACATTAGATGCTGTCAGTGTGGATGCTGAATACAAGTATTAATAGACAGCAGGCTCTCCTGTGCTTTTAGAGAATTGGCTTATATTCAGGATGGTAGCCTGCTAGGAAAAAATGCAGGGGACATGATTGAAACAGTGTCTTTTAAGGCAGCAACAGCCAACAACTGACACCAGTGCTGAGTGGGACCCCGACAGAGATTTGGGTTGGCACCAGTAACAAAGGGCTACCTTGTTATTTAAAAATAAAGCCAGCATAAGACATCAGAAAGGTTCATCATCAGGAACTTTAGCGGTTATGCTTCATGTGTACCTCCATAATTGGACAGCTTAGGTTGACAGGAACATATCCTTACTTTCACCAACTCCATCTGGGGATATAAAATATGTCTTTAGCTGAGAAGCTGTTTTGATCAGATGATCATAGGCATTGTGAGAATGTCAAGCCCATTGCTTTCTGTGTACTTATGCAGCAAATGGCTTTCTTAACAACATTTTCTTGACTCCAGATTTTGAATCTCCTCCTTGGAATATTGTGATACATGTCAAACACTATTATTATCACTTCTCCCATGATAGTAACATATTACATTTCTTCTCTTGGCTTTTGCAGTCTCTTGTCATACTTACAACTACTTTGGCAATCTAAGGAGCAACTTAAAGCTCCACGTTCTGTGGAGAAGGAAAATTTTCCAATACTTCCAAAGTTTTAGTTTAGATCATGGTCGCATCTGTGTTACAGTGAGGGAAAATCCCTAGAAGACTAGTAATTGGGTTATATGAAGCCACCACCAACAGATTCTGGAAGAGAGAAGTTAAGACAATTCAGTGGGAGGCTTTTCTGACTAACCGAGTGATGAACCAGTCCATCTGCATGGCCTTCAGTGGTGATGTTCTGCTGGAACTTGTGTGCCTGTCAGATCAGAGCTCAAACTGAATCTATGTTCAGCTGCTTCTTAAGTGACAGTGCTTTTTGGAAAGGTTACCAACTACTATACCATACGATTCTTGGAAATTCATTCTAATTTCAACTACTCCAATACTCTCTGTCTCTCCTTGTTCAAAATTGCCATGTACTGCAGCTGGGCTTTACATCAGAAGTAGGTGAAAGAGTTCTTAACTATGCTCCAATTAGTCAGCAGAGGTCACTAGTCTGGCACTTAGATTATTTTTGGAAGCGACTTTGAATTCTTCAGATGAAAGTTATTATATAACAAATTATTATCATCATCATCATCATCATCATCATCATCATCGTCGTCGTCGTTGTTGTTGTTGTTGTTTATTGTTGTGTTATTATTATTAATGTAAAAATGGTGTTTCTCAAACTTTCAATTAGAAATAATAGACTATAGGAATATTATTCTGACTGGGGATTTGTGAATAGAAATGACCAGAATTTAAAATGGGATTTGCAAAAGCATTATCCTGTGGCCAGTTCTGTTTCTACTGAAATCATAATATTTAGCAACAACGAGTGAAGCTTATTTTGAATGTTTTGATATTCTCATCTGAAAAAGCTCATTACTAGTTTTTTTTATACTCTGAACACAATTATATCTACTCATTACAACTCCTAGATTTGAAAGTGATGTCTAATTATTTTTTTTATTTAGTAAGAATTCACATATAATTGACAAAATCTGAAGTAATCACTAAATTATATCACTCAACAATACGCATCAGAGACCCTTCAAAATACATCATAGGTATTTGGTTATGTCTGCTTTGGTGCAGCCAAGGTCTGACTGCAACTCTGTGGAAATGGCCAAACTATGCACTAGGCAGTCTGTGCAGTGTTAATATTGGTACCAAACACCTCAATGCATACTATAAATTTGTGTTGAAAAGTTGGATGGATACTTCCGTACTTAGTTCCCATTAAGCTCTGTACAGTTTTATCTATGTTGCTATCAATACCTGAAGTACTTTGTCCAAAGCCAGAACAAATACATTTAGAAAAGCTGAAGAAACACCTTTGTAGTGTAGAAATGCTTTAAATAAGTTTAGCAGATTTCAGTGTTTTTGTCTTCTAAGTGCATCCTTCTACCAAAAAAAGAAAAAAAAAAAAAAAAAAGAAAGAAAAAAAAATAATAATACAAACCAGAAAAAAATTTAGAACAAGAAAGAAATTATTTTAAATAAGATAGCAAAATGTAGCTCCTTTGGACAAAAGGAAGAGGTAACAGTTCAACTGAGGGTATACCAACAGAGAATCTCCTGTTTGAGAAGATATGGGCCTGGGTGCTAATTCCCATTCCAAAGACATTAATGTTTTGACCTGCGCAAAATGCTTAAAGATGTTCCACTTTGAATTATAATGGCTAAAGACCGAAACTTACTGTGGTATTATTAGAAGGTAGACAAGGCCAAATAAGGCAGCTAGAATTAGTGAGAGAACTACAGCACTGGTGAAGTACTCATCCTGAAGCTGGTGGTACTGTTAAAGAAAGGAAGAAATGCAGACAATAAGCATTTTATACATGCCCAGACACCCATGCGTGTCCATTCTCAACAAGAAAGAACTACAACCTAAACCAAAACAAGGCCTTCTTTTGCAAACATACAAATAATCATTGCTTAATTCACATGAAAAGAAGATGAGGCAAGTCTACACAACATTTTCCTTAACAGCCTTCTGTTTCAGCTGCTCCTGTTGGCCTAGCTGTTTAGTTTTCACCCTGTAACTAATCAACTGGGGAGGGGGTCTTTATCAGGGGGTGTAGGAATAGGATGAGGGTTAGTGGTTTTAAACTGAAAGAGGGGAGATTTAGATGAGATCTAAGGCAGAAATCCTTCCCTGTGCGGGGGGTGAGGCGCTGGCCCAGGGTGCCCAGAGCAGCTGTGGCTGCCCCCTCCCTGGAAGGGTTCAGGGCCAGGTTGGACGGGGCTGGGAGCCCCCTGGGCTGGGGGAAGGGGACCCTGCCCGGGGCAGGGGGGGTGGGACTGGATGAGCTTTAAGGTCCCTTCCAACCCAAACCATTCTGTGATTCTGGGAAATTTGGGTTAGGCTCAGACATAAGTTTATCTTTCAGAGGAAAAATGATTCAGCCACTTCGAACCAGAAGGAGGTGGCACTCCCTTCCTCTCCACTTATTTATCACAAAAAAAAATGGCCAAAACTCCCTTGGTGCTGCCTTCAAGGAGTCTTGTCACCTCAGCTGCTCTGGACAGGACACTAATGGGTGGGATGAAGGTAGCTGCTAATGAAAGATACAGACTCAGTTTTGAGCTGTTACTGTCCCCGATTCCACTAAGCCACAGTCCTTACAACAGAACATTTTTCAGGGGTGGAAGGGCACAAGTGTTTTCTCAGAAAGATCCAAATTTCAATCTCATTTACACCAAAAGACTTTCTTATTTTGAAAGAAAATAATTACAAATAAATAATAAAACACTGTGGAAACTTGAAATCAAAGTTGGTGCTTGAGACCTTAAAAAAACTGAATCCAGTGTGGCACACAGCCTTCTGACTTGAAACACTAGTGACATGGAATTTTAGACTACAAGGTGACTTACAGTGGAAAAATAAATGCTACTGCCAAATTAATCCAAAAGCATATAATTTTTGCTTTTTCAAACACATAAACTAAAGGCTTTTATTTTTTTCCAATTAAAAGAATTTGTATTTACAAACAAAACCCATACAAGGTAGGAACAAACATCTCTACTTTGTTAGCCGATATTCATGTTTATAAGTAAGTCCACTGCTTTCAACACAGTCTCTCTGTCATAAGATCACAACCTTGTCCAGAGATTGAAGCATTTTTATATTTTCTAGGATTGATGGGATCAATACTTATCAGGCTACATATGCAGAGGGGAGAATTCTCAAGTCATTAAAGCTTTTCCAGAGCAGATGAGTCAGTAGGCAGCCACATTGCCAGGAGACAGCATTAAACAGGTGGCATGGTCAGGCAGTTTGCAGAGGCAAAAGAAAGGTCAAAACACAAGATGTTTAACTTTATGGGGGAGGACCTTGATAAGTAGAAAGGTACTGATCTTTCTTTTTATCCCCTCCAAGTGCTTCCATGGAAGGTGGAGATAATGTCTCCCTCTTAACTGAGCCACAGTGCAGGGGATTATTTAAAGATAGGAAGTAGAATTTAAATATCGTCTAAAACCAAACAAAACCCCCAATGCTAATTGGCTCATGGTCAGTTAAGTTAGTAAAAATATTTTAAAAACCCCTTACTTTATTTTCACGCTCAATTTGCTTATACTTCAGGGTAATGAAGTTCAAGTCAGCCATCTCAGACTCAGTTTGCCGGGCCTCTATCAAACGGCTGATGTATCTGTTTACTCGAGTTCCTGGAGTGTTGTATACAACATTGGTAGAAAAAGAGGAACGATTCCTGAGTTTTTCAGAGGCTGTCCTTAATGCTCTCCTCTGTAGCACAGATGAAGAAAGAAGCACAGATTTTATTAGCATTGAAATTTTTCATTGCTGTTCATATTATCTCAAGCTCAAGGTCAGGTTGAGGAATTCATTAAGCGGAACAACTACAAAAGACAGAGATCTTATCTCTGTGTGATTGCTATATTTTAAAAACTCCTTAGCTGAAATCCCGATCTAATTAAAATCAATGAGAAAACCCCCACTGCATTCCAGGATTTCAATCCTCTTCTGCAAAAATTCTCTTCACATACTGCCATGACACTTCTCTGCCACTGAGGAAATAATCAGCTTGATCCCAATCAGTATGACTTTACCTAGAAAAATACTTAGATTTTTTTTTCTTGATGGAAGACACAGGGCTTTGGACATCCTGAAGGCAAGATAACCAGGGTCTTCATGATACAAGAGAAGTCTTACTGTCCAAGACTTTCAAGGTAACAATAAATATTTTGAAAAGATAATTTTCCTTAAGCTCTTGCACAGTGACCATATGTACCTTCAGAGGGTCTGAAACCTTAAGTGTTCCTGTCTTTAACTCACCCAAGTGGATATTGGACCTCTTGGATATATCTTAAACACTTGGAGATCCAGAAGGATCAGTCCAATAAATTATCAGAGCTAACCTGTGCCTAACTGAGGTTAATTCCTCCATGGCTACGATAGCACAGTTTACAAGATGATCACTCATTGTCCCTTTCAGTGCAAGGGATTTGTCACAGAGCAAATCTGAAAGGGATTTTAGACAATCAGTCTGACTTTTCACAGAGAACACTCAGAAGATGATGAGCAGCATCTCAGCCACACTGATGGTAGCCTTCACTTCAGGGCACTGTAATCTAAACTATTATGGCTAGATCTGCACTAGTATGACCGACCATGCCCCAGCACACTGAAAGGATCAGGGCCTTCACAAAATACTCTTGTAAATGCATCATCTTTTAAACACAGAGTGAGAAAGATGTGGACCACTCTTGTAAAAGAAAAAGCAGTCACCTAATGGTTAGCATGCTGAGCAGGAAGAAAGAGACATTAATTGAATAACCTTTTCACCTCAGAAGGGGTCAAGCCTTAGTTCCCAGAAGAGTTTTGACAACCAAGCTCAGGCAAGTTGTACTATTTTTCTACAGTTAAAGAAATACTTCTTTATCTAACATCTGCAGGGTTCAGGAAGACAATTCAAAACATTATGAAATGACAAGTCTGCTCAGGGATAAGGAGAACTTTGGCTCAGGATATGATTGGGAGAGTCTGTCAGCAAGCTGTTACAAAAGCACACAAAATTTCTCTCTTCAGAGCAGTCAGTACTTAATAGCCCACTCTTTAAATGCTCTGCTACAAAATACCCTCTTAAACCAGATGGTAAAAAGAAGTGGTGATCACTATTTAAGTAATTCTGCAGGAATGGCAGTTTCCTGTCTTATTCCACAAGAAGTAGTTCTCATGAGGTCCTCATCAGGGAACAAACAGTGGACTACAGCAGTTCATTATCTTGCAGAGCTTACGTTATATGTATATTATAACTGAATACTTATGAACACTGGGAAGGGTTAACTGCTGACTGATACTTTAGTTTTCTGATAATAAAGAAGAATGAACCTCCATGAGGATGAAATAACTTTCCAAGCCCCCATTTTTTCTGGATTTATATGTAGAGAGCAGGTTATACCAGCATTAAACAATGATGAGGCTATGTGAGACATTTTTCTCTGAACTGTCATATCACATCACTTGTTAAGGTGTCTGTGGTGTAAAAACTAATTGTTTCAACATGGAAAATAATCTTGTGGACATACATGGATTAGAGCTTTCAAATCTGAGCTTCCGGGTTCTCTTAGCTGTAGTAGAAATCTTAAATTGTTAGCCACACAACTTTTCTGAGTGTTTCTAAACAGAAATAAAGTTGTTGTCTTGCAGAAGACATTTGTTCCACAAGTTTGTAGAGAAACAGAGTGCTTTCAGGAATAATGTTAGGAATACACCATTTTACTCTTCATAAAGATAAATAACAATTAGTTAGCATATGTATTGCTTAAGGTGTAGCAGAAAGTACATCTCTGGGGATTTTTTTTAAACCAAATTAAAGCCTATAGCATAATAGTAGGGGTGAGCAAAACAACATTAAAAAAAAAAAAAAAAGAAGATCTTATTTGCTTAAAAATGGAATGAGGGTAGATGGGAGTTATTGTGATATGTGGAATAAATGATATTATTTATTCTGCTATTTTGAAATAGGGTTAAAGTTAATGTGCTTAATCAAAATATCTGTTGCTCACATAGAATTGTTTTCACTGAGTCTCTTAATTTTATCTCTATTATTATTACTTCACACAGTAAAATTTTACTATGCCTTATTTGTGATCAAGATCCAGTGTATTTCTCAGAAATTAAATAAATAAATACATGCTACAGTAATGTGCTTGATTCAGAGCCTTTATAGTCATAGCTTGTTTTACATGTTTTGAGGACTGATATCTCTGAAGAAATCCTGCATTGCAACACAGCGTATTTACATATAATACGTGTAAAATCATATATCGTGCTCCATGATGAATGTTACATATTAGGTACAAAAGCTCAGAACAACTTGTTCAGTTAAAGATAGCATTGTAGAACTTCACTGCAAATGTTCTGACATGAGAAAATTTTTATCAGATCCCTAGCAACCCCATATTCGTATTTTTGGCATATAATACCATATTTATACATACATATACACAAGACACATTGTAAAGTATTGCATATGCTTCAAAGAATGTGTGGGTTACTTTTTAAAATACTCAAAGAACAATACTAATTCACAAATGGAAGGCCTTATATGCAGCCAATTCCAAAATAAAATCTGGAGCTTCTGAAAGTCTTCAGTGAAACTGTGTTTTAAAGGTACTAACAGACTTTTCTTCCCCTTTCCTGCAGAAGAAACACAAGGACATGTAATTCCAAAATATAAAAGTTAGAATGCTTTCTTAAAGTTAGATCTAGACCGAACCTTCAATAAATTCACATTATTTTTTTAAAAAAGGTGGAAAGCAACCAGTCCAGATGAATTACTGATTCCAATGCACACGTGCCTTGCTTTGGAGCACTGGTGGAGTGACCTATGTAATATTGCCACCTGCTGGCAAAGAAAATGGAATAAGTAACTCTTCAAAAGTTTTTCCTCCTTAAATTTCTCGGTAGATCCACACACAGAAAAGGAAGTAAACCAGGCTACTAGTATGTAAAGCAATTTTGGGTTATGTCATTGCAAGCCATTCAAGAAAGAGGTACCCATATTTGTATTAGGGACTTTGTATTTAGGATCTGTATTAGGGACTTATGTATTTAGGATCTGTATTAGGGACTGAGAGGTTTTTTGGCTGATCAGTTGCCTATCATTTTATAGAGAACTGTCTAGAGATACAGTTATTCTGTTATCTTGCATTTGCTGCCATCAGCTTCGTGATCATCAGCTCATGATACAAAAGAACAGCTCTTGGTAATTGCAGAAAAAGCCTCAGAAACTCTGATTTCTGTGAAGGAAGCCCTTAACAGAAGCCACGTATGCCACCTGTTCTGCCTTGTCCAAGTGTGAGGCCTGTTATAATTAAGCTTTGCCTTCAACTGTGAGAAGGCTGTGGGCATTAGCTAGTTCTAGATCCAGAAGGAACATCAGAAACCTCTCTATCAGCTGGTCAACTCATCCCATATGTTCTCACAGTGGATCTGCTTGATGCGGCCCTGGGACTGATGCCCAAAGAGCTTACAGGGATTACCTTATCATCATCCTCACACGTCATGACATTGGAGAAAGGGATCTCTGCTTTGAACATCTTACGGCAGTGCATGAGCTGAACAAGCAGGTAGCAGACTGTCTTAAACTTCATTCTTTTGGCAGGCTTAATGTCTGAGAGAATCAGTCCAGGAAATATCTGTTGGTCAGAAAAATAACATTTATAACTGTATCATTATGTTCCCATGTAGACATACATACCTGCAGACATTTACACCATTTAGCGGTCAGAACAAAGCACTATTCTAATCAAGAAGCAATACATTCTGATAAACAACATATATTTGCAGATTAACATTATTTCATCTTTTTTTAACCTGAGATACAAAGAATCTATTGAAAGGACAATATTTAAACACATACTTAACATTTTGGGAACTATTTTCTATATAGAAAAGTAGACTATAAAAAAGCGTATTAATGACAAACTCATAAAAGAGGCAATATTTGTATTTCTTTAACCTTAAAATAAATTCTGGAAAAATAGAGGAAAAAATAAGGAGAAAATTAGCATTTTTATTAATTGGTGTTAAAAATATTATTTCAGTCATCTTATTTCCTCATTTTGTTACTTCAGCCACTGGTAAGCCCGTTAAAATTAGAAAAGGATAGCTTTTGTTTTAAAGATACACTTATGCACATGCCCTAAAAGGAGACTGTGAGGCACTGAGGTTATATATTACATCTTATTTCTTCAAAGCAAGAAGTGTTATACCCCAGAGAAATATTCTCAAAGGGTTGGGTATAATCTTTTCCTTTTACCGTGGAGCTCCCAGTTCAGCAAGGACAAATATTTCCTTGGTTAACTCTTAAGCATGTATTTAACTCTTGCTGACTTTTGTAAACCCCTGGCATGTGTTCAGATGCTTTCACAGATCAGAACAAGAGTGATCCTTTATTCTACCCTCAGTATTTATACCAATTTCACTCATGCTTCTGGCATGTGTAATATGTAAAGCAGCATTCATGGTTAATGTGGAAGGACCCCATGCCACCACAGTAGGGGGATTTAAGCTTGTGAAATTATTCTTTTCTGGAACAGCAAAATAAAGAAACACAGAGGATTTGCTCCTTCACGTTCCTAGGTACAGAAGACAGAGCAAATCACACTCCAAAAACTTTATGCAAATATTCTAAAACAAACAAATGGCACCGAGGATTTGCTGTCCAGTCTTCACAATGCTATGATTTAATAGAGCATTTTACATCATTACAGGAATGATCAAGGAATGAAGGAGGAAGTAAACTGGATGCATTCATTTAATACATGTTTTCATGGATACCTACACATTTAGAAGGATAGGGAAAATGACACTGCTTATATTCTAAATGGCATCTCAGGTATGGGTTTGCTATGCTGTTTAATGCATACAGCTATGCATTTTCATTTTCTGGAGAAGCAAGGGTATATTCTATTGATCTACCAATACTCTGCTCAGTCAGTTACACAGCAGAAACAGAAAACACAGAACAACAGAAACACAAAAATGACTTGTGTATCAACAGTTGCACATTTTTTTTATTTGCAGATGGCTATGTCAGAAACATCTGACATGTCTGAACGTGGAATGGTGCCTAGGTATGCAAATGTGCTTTACTGTACACTGCAAGGCTGACTGAAGCCAGCTAGCATCGCTGGCACTGTACTGCATAGTCATCAACTGGAATCTAAAAGGACACTTGTGTATCATCTAGTGTGCAGTCACCTGAGTTTAACAAAAGTCTCCATGAGGAGATTCCCAATATGAACCCTTTCTTTCGAGGGCTTTCTGGCAGAAGACTTACCAGTGTATTGTAATGACTGCATAGAAGATACTGTACAAATGATATTCATATACAAATCATCCTTTAGGTATTCCTAAGGACACCAAGTAGATAGTTGTTAGGATTGAGTATGGCAGATATGATCAGCTTTTGAGCTACCATTCCGAACAGCTAAAACATATTTTTTGGACAGGTCCTCCACTTACAAATTTTCCTAATGTAGCCATAATTCCTCTAGAAGTACTACATATTTTACTCGGTCTCCCTACCAACCTTTTTGATATAACAAAAATGAGCAACTTTCTTGACACTCCCTTCAGTTTTGCATTTTGCTTCAGTTTTTTTAAGACACGGAGATAAAAAGGGAATACGCAGAAGTTTACAGGTGGACCATATCTTGAGAGAGCACTAGCTCTTTCTTTGCTTAAACCTTTCACTGTGGACTTTCCATTAACTAGGTTAACAACTTTGGGTTTAGGTCTCCATTAGATTGGCTGGAAAAGATGCTCTTAAATAAGTACCGAGAACTACAGAGGCTGCCTGGAAGCCTTCATTATGGAAATGCCACTGTAAAGGTACAAGAGTGGCAGAGAATAGGTAGACCATCTTATTATCAAAAAGATTCAAGAAGGCATGATTGAGAAAGGTGAGGGCATGACTATATCCTCCTGCAAGGATTTGAAGTCCTGTGAAAAGAGAAGAATTTAGACATTCCTTGATGCACATTTCATATAACAGACGTGTTTCTGAGAACAACCTGCAACTTGAAAACTTGGAATGGACAGAGTTTACCTCAGGCAGTGTGGCCCTGCCACCAACATGGCTTTTCCTCAAACATATATTTTCATGCAGTCTCCCGACTGTATGTTCAAAGAAGTAAGTAGAATATTTTTAGCTCATACTGACTGCTCTTTTCATTTATAAATCTTATCATCAGATAATATATCAATAGTATGCACTCCTTGTATGTTGGAAATACAGGGGAGTTTTCCAGCTGTCCTGGAGTCAAAGAGAAGATTTTTAACTCAGGTCACTGAAAAAAATGGATTAGTGTGTCTACTTCTGGAATCCCCAGAAGGAGACAAACTGGAGTGAGTTCAGCAAAGGTTCACCAAAACAATTAGGGTTCTAAAGCATGTGACATGAGAAGAACCTGAGGGAATTCAGTTCAATGATCTGGGAAGGCTAAGGAGGGATCTAATTGCTGTCTTCAGCCACCTAAGTAGTAGTTAGAGAGAAGAGAGAGCCAGACTCATCCCCAAAATGCCCAGAAAAAGCACAAGGGGCAATAATCTTAGTCTGTACCAAGGGAAATTCCTATTTGATACAAAGAACAGAAGTTTTAACTGTGAAGATGATCATGCACTGGGGCAGGCTGACCAGAGAGGTTGCCTAATCTCCAGCCAGGGAAACACTCAGCGCTCACTTAGACGAGCTGCCCTGGGCAACCTACACTTTCAAAAGCAGATCTAACTGTGAAGCTGGCCCTGCTTTGAGCAGGGAGGTCGACCACACGACCTCCAAAGGGTCCTTCCAAATTCAGTGAGTAGGTAATGCTATGAAAACATGTGGAACACATACAGCTACTGCTCTTCATGGTTGGCCGAGAACTTAACCACTCAAAGGACATTGCAATACACACAAGTTGGGCACACTGGCAGTTCTCAGATGATGTATAATTTTTTTTCTTTTTCTTTTCTTTTTTAATCCAGTGGTTGTAGGACATATAGATTCTGCACTGGAACTGAGGATTTTCCATTCTACTATTAGATATACACAATATCAAAAATACAAACAAAGGAATTCTCTCACACTTTCATCTCATAAATCATGTCCCTTTTTTATTATTACTTTTACAGCAGAAAAACACTTCTGACACAGTGAATTTCTGAGTGGAATATTTAAGTAATCTCACCTTGTGATTTAAGCCTCTGATAAAGGCAAGAAATGCAGTACAGTCTGTTAAAACAGACTCAAATCCTCCCCCCCAAAAAACAAAAAAAAATCCAAAAACCACAACCCCAATGTCTGTCACTCTGCCTTTTCTCTGAACTTGCTCCAGGCCAGAATCTAAGGCAAACTGGACTGCAGCATTCTCATTCCAGCTCATTTTACTTTCACACTTCTTTTTGACCCTCAGGATCATGTCCTATTCTGTTCACTGTTAATTTGCTTCATAATTTTAGGAAAGGTTGGTTGTTTGCTGCAACACAGCTGGCAAATAAGGTTAAGAGCTGGGATTTTCTAACAGAGCACTCTGAAAGCAGCCAGACTATCTGCAGCTTTGTGAGTGTCTTTAAGTATGCAGAAAACAAACATGTGCTGGTTAAAATTCTGAGAAAACACCCCAGTGTTTGAATCTCATGTATTACATGAGATCCATGTAAGGGATTCACTGGTGCTTATCTGGGATTCTCAGAAACAGCAGCAGACTGTTGTTCCCCTGACTATATTCAACTGCAGTGCTTATAATGGCATGTGAAAAGAAATACTAATGACATTCAAAACACATTTACAGAATCCATAAATGCTGTAGCACTATGTCTGTCCGTGCTTTCTATCTTCAGACAGGCAGGACCGTGTCTCATGGTAGTAGTGTTTGTTCCATTACTATCTGCAAGCCATTTTGTCCTGAGGTAGATGAGCAAATCTTATTTGGCTTGTTTCTTCTTACAGTTAAAACCATCAGACATTTGTTTTTCCATCATTTTCTACTGCCCTTATGATACATTTTGCTTATCACGAGGCAGCTGTCCATAAGGAAAGTATATTAGTGATTTTTACCAGTAAATAATACAGCTTCTGTAAGACAAACTCTCAGCATTCAGAATGGCATGGCCACTTTCTCAACACAGATGTAGAAAAAGCTTTTAGCAGCTGTGAAGACTAAAACAATCTCTAGGAGATCAGAAAGAGATAAAATCTTATACCAATGCCCTATGTTTCTCCCTTCTATAGATTCCACATTTCTGGAGGAAGAAAAAGAAGAGAGGAGAATGAATTTAGAGCACCTAACTAATTCCACAATCGCTGACAGCCCAAACTGCAGGCCATCACATTAATGATGGTGCACTAGCAGCTTCAAGGCAATTGTAGAAACAATCCTGACATTGTAGAGCAACATGCTCTGCAATACAGGCATCATTCCTGTCTGTGCTGGGTGGCAACATAAGCGGTTTACTTCTGGTGTTGGGGTGCGTGTATATTCCAACAACTTGTGCAATGCAGTGTCTCAGGCACAGAGCAGCCCCTCTTCAGATACAAGCTAGAGCTACCGTCAAGGGCCTGTGTGTCTGTCTATTAAATTATATCTGCTAAGGTATATCTGGGATGTTAGCACTTGAAATGCCCAAGTTATGCATTCAGATCTCTAGT